TTGCTTGTGGTTGTGATTGTTAGAGATCTTACGGACTGTTCATACATCTAACACTACTTAACTTTTGGATCATACCTTAAGGGTGTAACACTCTCCCCGTGAGAGGGAGAGTGCACATCCTTTTGGAAATACAAATTAATGTATAAAGTTAAACGCACATTATGCTAATCGGCACAGCCGATTAACATAATGCTTGTCTATCTTTGACGCATTTCATTTGTCAGATTCATAATGTTGACATACTTCTTGCTTCAATCACGCTCCAACACCATCGTCTTCTACTTGTTTGTCTTGATGGTGAGTATCACTTCTTCCTTCTTGTTCAAAGTTGTTTTTTAGATCTTATATCAGCTTTTTCTGCGTGGCGAATTCTATCTACTGTTGCGTTGTGCGTAAAGTAAGTAGGATAGTGAGATCCTCTCAAATGTATTTTTTAAAAAATCAAAATAGCAAAAAAAAGTGTGAATCTAGCCAAGAAATGTGTGAATATATATTTACTTTTTTAACACTCTTTTCTTTAATAACTTTTTTGTATTGTAATTCTACATGTAGACTAAGATTGAAAACATTTATATGTTAAATATTACCAATAAAATATCAAAAATTGATATAAGAACGTTATCAAAAATTGTAAACCTCAAAGCTATAATTGAATAGTAAGTTTTTTATAATTATAACTCAATATTTACATTTTTTCAATGTAAATTTATTCTTAATATAATTTAGATAAATTTGAGGTTTTCTCTTGTAGCATGCGATGTCTTTGAATGACAACAAAGATTGAATGTCAGATTAACCAATTGCTTTTTCAAAAAAGTCTTTCTGATTGTTTTTATGTATTTTTACATGTTAGTCTTATGAATAAAATAAAATAAAGATGTTAATCTTAAGAAAAATCAATAAACATAAAGCGAATTCATATCATTTTTCTTCAAATAAATAAATTTTCATCAAAATTTCAAACAAATGATTGTTTTACATAACAACAATACATATGTTTTAAAAAGATAAATTTGTTCTATCAAGTATAATTATGTTAATGTTCTTGTAAGCTGTAATCTTTAATGACGGCAAGTTTTGAAATTGAATTAGAATTACAAAATAATAGTGATAATAATCATACCAATTAATTTATATTTAAAGTTTAATAATTTAATTTTAATATATTAAGCATATAAATTTATATGATTGATCTCCAAAATAATTTTTTTTTCTTCCAATCATATAGCTATCATCCATATATAAATATGTGAATAAAAATTGCAGAATTTATTTATAGATTAGTATATAGATAGTATACTTTACTTGATTTTGAAAACAAATGTAACATATATTAATTGTATTTACACTGTGATTCAAGTGTAAAGTTAAAAATAAATATTATTTTCTTAATTAACACCACAAAAAATTTAAATATTTTTCATAGTCAATTCATAAATATGTTCTTTGCACATTATTGTAAGTGTATATAATTGGCAAATGTTAATTGCATGTTTAGGAATTATCTAAAGACTAATAAAATTGTAAATGTAACATGGTTTGAAATTTGTTGTACGAACATATATAAATAAATTGCTGAATGATGCAAGTTTCATAAACAAATATTATTTTATTTGGAAAAAACTTGTACGTAATTTGATCATCAAATTTGATATTATGATGATATGCAACAATTATTTTTAAGTGGAAGAGATTGGTTGGAAATCTGTGGTTGCAATAATTACTTACTTTCAGGTAGAGCATTGTATTTGATAAAAGTAAATTAAAATAAGAATGAAGTTTTCAACATGAAGGCTAATGATAGATTTAAAGAAAAATTGAAAATATTTATGTACATGTATATTTTAATTATTGGGATAAATTATACATGTGTTTCATAATTTTTCACAACATACATTAATTATATTCAATATATTATTTTTTTTTTGTAATTTTCTTTATTTTTCTAATTTCATCTTATTTGTATAAAAAATTTGATATTATTATGATATTAAATTTAATATTTATTATATAAATTATTTAAAATTAAAAAATATTATTATTTAATTATTTTAATCAAACAATTTATTTGACATTCCAGTCATTTTTTAAATAATTATACGTTTTATTATAGTTGAATTTAAATTTGTTTCATAGACTTTTGTATGGAGTAAATATCATGAAAATTGAGTTCGATTTTATGAAGTTATATATGAAGATTTTTATATGTTGATTGTGTTTGATTTTGTAACATGTTGCAAAATCGCATCTGTGATTTTCTATGCAATGTACTGCTCTAATTTTTATGATATAAGTCTTATGCTAATAAAATGAAGTTTACAATATGTGTTAGAGACAACATTTGTGTTTCATATGTGAATTTTCTATATTTTGACTATATTTTTTGAAATATGAAAAGCTTTGCATATTTCATATTATATAATCTGTGATCTTAACATGTTTATAATTATCAGTGATCATTTGAAATTAATTTCATCAAACTGAAATATTTTTTAGTTCATTATAACTGCATATATGTAACAAATCGTAGATACTTTTAAAATATTTGTTAATGCAAATTTTCAATATTTCTTTTAGATTAAACAAAATGATTATCAGGGATTGCATTTTCATGGATAAACTGGATTCAATTGTCATCCCTTGTAGCTCTTAACATGTTCATTAAATATGTAAAAAGGGGCTAATGTATTATTGTTCAAACTTAAACAATTAAGTTATTTTATTATAACATTATGTTGATAATTACATTTGAACCAAAGTATAATCATACTTATAAACACTCGTTGTTAAATATGAAGTAACAAATACGATTGAATAAAAGAAGTAGAATGAAAAATGGGTATATTGATAAAATTTAATACTTTTTTTATTATAAAATATCAACTAAAAATATTTACAAAATACATTTAATTGTTTGATCTCAACAACTCATTTATAGGAAACAATTTGTGTGAAAGTGCACATGCAATGTTCATAATTGATGATTACAAATTGCACACATCTATTAAAAATATTCCTCTTGACTCTAATTGACATCAAATCTTCAAGTAGATTAATAACTCAATCTTATATTTCAGCTGAATTTTTCAACTTAGACAAAAAATTACAAGGAAAAACGATGAAAACAAAACCTGATTAGATTATTCTTGTTAAGAAATATGATGATTATCTTTTCCAAATGTTTCGATAATATTTTTTTAGAAAAATTATTTGTCACAACTGCAAAAAGATATTTGAATCATATTCTGTTTAAATTAAAATTTTAAATATTGGTGGTTTGAAATTACTATTTCTTTAATTACATAAGTACTTCTTAGTGCTAGAAATTGGAAGAATTATTTCTTTCATAAAATCAACCTCATATTTTATATTTCAACTGCATTCAATATGAAAGAGATTTGCTCGTATACTAGTAGAGATGAATATTTAAATGCAAAACATCACATTATGAATGGATACAATGACTCTGATTAAAATATGAACGATCGTTGTGCTCCTGACTTGAAAGCGGATTTATGGACAATGTACAGCAAAGCTTGGAGGAAAAGGTTGACACAAGTGTTTTTTAAAAGAGATAGCAAAACAGGCACGAGAGAATGGTATTGACTTTCCCCCAAAGAGATACTGAGTCTTGTAGCAAGTTTGCCAAGTTTGATTTCACAAGCATGTTTCATTCAAGAACACAATGTGCCCCGCGGATATGATCTATACACGGAGTTCTTCCTGCTGACGTGGAGATACTGTAAGTGCTTTTCGGGCATGATTAATGATCACGTACTTTTCTCCTGCGGCCCTCCTGCTCCGTTGCAGTCAGCAGCAGAAGAGATAGAATAAAGAGGAGGAAAAGCAACGACGGAGTTATGTCGGAGAGCGTGGGAGAGCGTGGTGGATAGCGATAGAGAACAATGGCTATTTGCAGCGAATGTCAGATCAGAGGTTCGAACTCAACCTCAGTGAACATTCGAACGCCGGCTGGTATACAACGAGGGAATGCGACGGTATGGTCCCGAAATACGGGAAATACTGCCACTGACAGCATGCGAGTCCAGCTGTGCTCCATCGGAAGGTGAGGATGGCGAATGATGTCATGAGCGATTGCCATGAGCCCAGCGAGAGCGAGAGGGAGAATGCGAGAGCGAAAAGCAAACGAGCATCCAGACGCAAGGAACAAGTTTCGCTGGAGTTCCGTGGAGCGGAGCGCACCTGGACAGCTGCCTTCCAACTTCAAAGAGGCCAATTTTGGATCGCCAGAACGCAGGAAAGCGAGAGAAATTATTGCTCGATGGTGGAGCCCACCCGAGCACAGCTGCACTCCTGCAGATTCCGCACTGCGCACTCCGTCCAGATTCCCAAGAGGGGTGCATCCCAGCATGTGCTGCAGCCCGAGGCCTCCATGTGGGCCCCATCGGGAACCACTCGGAATGTGTCGACCGCCGATCACGCGACGCACCGGGGACTGCGTTCCAGGCCCAGCCCCCTGGACTTTGACTTCGGCCACAGACCCTCATCGTCTTATGCCGGAGCCGGAAGCCGTGGGGGCCGAGTCCGAGAGGGCACCGGAGTCGAACGAGGGACACGTGGATGCCATCGCACCCCCTTCAGATTCTTCTCCATCATTCTGCAACGCTTTTTCGTTTCGTCGTCTTCCCCTCCCCTGCCCCGTCGACGAGGAAGAGCATCGAGACGCCAGTGCCAAGGTGTCCTTCGACTCAGCCACGTGTCAGGTGCCGGACCTGGAAACCCGAACCCCGACGCCGTCAGTCGAGTGCAGGTACTTAGTCTTAGACTGTGCACTTAGCGAAGAAACCGTCTACGGTTCTACGAGGTCAGCAGAGTTCATGGACTCGGTTCAATGGAAGGGGGAGGGGAGAAAGGCGCAATCTCCGGACCTACGCGTGCGCCACTCCGATTCGTCGATGGGCCGGTTCGTTTTAGACTATGGTCGAGAGGAGGAGCGAGCTAAACCAGGCGGGCAAGCAAGCGAGAGAGCGGGCGAGCGCCATTTGAATCGTGGTGCCAGGTGGTCGCGGTGCAGTGGCTGACCGGCGAGCCATTTGCTTCCCTGCGGCGACGAGGTCGCGCTCGCTCGCTCTCTCTCGCCATCGTCGTCCTGCAGCAGCAGCAGCAGCCGCAGCGCGGAGAAGTTTCTTGCGATTGAAGAGCGGCCGGACTCGGTCGGGTCGATCTGAAGCAGGCCAGCACGAGCGAGAGAGCGAGAGAGCGAGCTTCTGGAAGTCGAATAAAGAGAAGGATTGTGGCCGGTTCGCCGTTCCTACTGAGTGCGCGGATCAGCGTGTGTGCTCCTGTGGCTTCTCCTGCCTTCCTTCCTTCCTTCGTTCCATCTTCGTTGCGTCGGACCCTGCCCCATCCGATCTCTCCACTCTCTTGTTTCCCGTCTGTCTTCCCTTCCGCAAGATTCTGTCGCAGATCGATCGCCTGGTGAACAGTCGAGGGATTTGGTGTTCGTACTAGTCTTATTTTGCACTCGTGTGCTTTTCTTCGGTTATTTTTCTTCTTCGGCGACTTGCCGTTTGGGTTGGTTTGGTTTTCTCTGTGGCGCTCGCGGATCCGGACTCTCTTGGGAGCATTATGGAAGAATAGGAGGGCCTGCAGTTGTGTCTGGAAGTAATTCTCTGGAGGCATGGTGGGACAGTCGACTCTCTGTGGATTAGACCTGAGGGTTAGCGAGCTTATTTCGGAGCCGGGCGCAGTGACTATGGAGGTGGAGGTTCAGATCAGGAGATTCCAAGGGAAGTTTGAGTTCGTCGTGTGCGCGCCGGCAGGGTTCACCGTCTTGTGAAACAGCTTGCTTCTTTCCTCTGGAAGAAATTTGGAACCAGCAGATTGAAAAGAGAGAGAGAGAGAGAGAGAGAGAGAGAGAGAGAGAGAGAGAGAGAGAGAGAGAGAGAGAGAGAGAGAGAGAGAGAGAGAGAGAGAGAGAGATGCCCAGCATCGGTGTAAAGTTGTATAGTGTGTTTTTTAAGTTGTTATTGAGACACCGTATGCTCAACACCGGTGTTTCGAACACCAAAGATGGTTATGGGACCATATCCCGTGCGAATGCAACCGGCATTCCAGCGAATGCTTCCTTCGTGGACGGAGTGGCCACAAAGGACATCAACATCGACCCATTCACATCGCTCTCTCTTCGAATCTTCCTACCCCAAAGTGTTCTTCCCCGGGATCAAATTCGTCAACTTACTGCAGCTGATGTTTTAGGTTTTGTTAGAGGACATGAGACTCAAATGGAGAAAGAATGGGAAAATGCTTACAGGAAAGGGCAGAACTTGAAATCATTATCAGGAGAATGGAAAGGTGATCTCACTCAGAGCACTGTGTATCAGGGATACCTACCAGCCAAATCTGTAAGGAATCACAAGAAGTTGCCTATCATTGTCCAGTTTCATGGTGGAGGCTTTGTGATCGGGAGCAAGGATTCGGCTTCGAACGATATGTTCTGTCGAAGGATGGCCAAGCTGTGCAATGCTATTGTAATTGCGGTCGGATATAGATTAGCTCCTGAACACAAGTACCCGGCAGCATTTGAAGATGGCTTCGAAGCTTTGACGTGGCTGGCCAAGCAGGCGAACTTGGCGCAGTGCAACAAATCTTTGGAACATGTGCCTTCAGGTTACCTCCACAAAGGTTCGGAGATGTATAGGGAATTGGTTGATTCATTTGGAGAAAATGCGGTGGAGCCGTGGCTCGCTGCACACGCTGATCCCTCAAGGTATGCTCTTAATTCTTTCCAAGAAATCCGCCTCCTTGGGGGGTAAGTTAGGAACACAGTGCAACGCTGACCCAAGACAGTATCTCTGGGCGCTGATGATAAGCTTTTGTGGCAATGAAAGATTTGAGTCGATTATTCACGGCAAGTGGTTACGGTTTTGATACACACGTTTGTTCTATGTTTTGTGTTGACGTCTTCTCAATCGTAGAACGTCTGATACCCGTCCTACGTGCATGCCGGTGTTCAGTTCCTCTATACCCGCCAAACGTACCCATTTTGTGTTTGCATTCAACTTGTCACTACTTTTGCTCACCGTGTGGCTGTACTTTTCCTTCGTCTAGTTTCAGTTTGCCGCATCTAGTTCAGTTTTATACTTATTCGGATGCGTTCGGACGCTTCTTACGGTTACTAGTTTTAGTAACATCCCATTTCATCCCTTTCACATAGTTGGGTGTGGTCATTTCTTAACTGTCATTTAGATTACCGTGTGTTTGGACCTTGCACCCGGTTGTTTTTGTGGAACAATCAAAAGCGGTTGTCTTTGGACCGCGTCCTCAAGGTCTTCCTCTTGGTCAGGTTGATCATTTTCTTCTCGGTCCTGTATTGGTCGTGCTCGGGAAATCTGGGAATGCATTATATGTCGTGAGGTGGAAGGACCTTCACCACGTATCTTGATACTGGTTTGCCGCCTAGCTTGCGAGTAGCAATCATCTCTTACGGCAATGCACCACCCGTCGATTGTGAAGAATGTTGAGTTTCCTGAGCAAATTCTATACTCCAGAATTTGCGGCCTCTGCGGGTTGTGTTATCATATGCTTGCATCCTATGTCCGTTTTACAACGGAATTAGGAAAGACATATTAATGGCCAAACTTTATGATTTCATCCAGTCTAGGTTAAGTCATTATGTCTGTCTATACGAAATTGCAAGTGGATGATTTGAGTGAATTTTGTGTCGTGCAGGTGCGTCCTTCTGGGAGTCAGCAATGGAAGTAATATTGCGGATCACATCTGTCGACGACTGGTAAAGGCAGGCAGTGTTTTGGAGCCTCTTAAGGTGGTAGCACAGACGCTAATGTATCCCTTTTTCCTTGGGAAAGTTCCTACTCATTCAGAGATTAAACTGGCGAACTCATACTTCTTCGACAAGTCCTCGTGTTTGTTAGCCTGGAAGCTCTTCCTGCCTGATGAGTGTCCTGATGAGGATCATCCAGCAGCAAATCCTCTGATTATAGATCCGGAGTTCCCTCTCAAGCGAATGCCTCCAACTTTAACCGTAGTCGCTGAGCTTGATTGGATGAAGGATAGGGCTGTTGCTTACTCCGAAGCATTGAGGAAAGCCCATGTGGAAGCGCCAGTTTTGGAATACAAAGATGCTGTGCACGAGTTCGCGACGTTAGATATTCTTGTGAATACAAGACAGGCTGAGGCCTGTTCGGAGGAGATAGCCGTATGGATAAAGAAGTATACTTCGGGGAAGGATACAGAGTTCTCTTATTGAACTTCTTCAGGAGATCCGCCCCAATTTGATTCATGAATCCAACGCGCGTTTGCCGAAAAGCCGGAAGTTGGATCCCAAATGACCTCATCATATATGTCCGAACCTTTGTCGTCAACAGTTTTCCCTCGCATTGGCGAAGGTGTGATCTTCACCCCGATAATTGGAAGGCATTTATGGCTGGATGGGGTTTCAAAGGTTTTGACAGTAAAACCTTTACTTGTTTTAAGTACCATGTTTCCCTATCATGATCGAGAAGAGTAGCCTGATCGCGAGAAGATGTAGCATTGAACTGATTCTGAGGTATACGACATGCAGGACAAGCTTGAAAAACGATCAATACCGACTTGCTGCTCTTTGCGGGAAGAGGAATTCTGAAAGACGAGAAACAACTGAGCGAGATCCTGGCGTCCATTATGGATTGGGGGATCTACTTCGCGGAAGCCTTCCAAGCGGGAGCTGTCTATTCTCCACAAACGCTTGGTATTAGAGGATCCTTTTCATATCATTATTCCATTTATATTCTGCCCTTATTGTGAAGCTGGTGTTCTTGTACCATATCCTACAACGTGCACTCTTTGTAAATTCGATTGAAGGAACCTTCATATTCTTTCTGATAAGTAATCTACCGCGTCAAGCCTATTTCATTCGACATTTTTAGTGAGTTTGTGCAACTCAGCCCAATTTATGTCCTGTTTTTTGCGCGCATGGCTTTCGCTGTTGTCGTTCTGTTCGTGAACTTCCTGATGCTGGGAAAGGAGAGTGGTCAAGATTGTTCTACTTGAATAGGTAGTATTCTCACGTGTTCACTTCTCTTTCTTAAAGTGGAAGGCCTTGCTGTTTAGATGGTGCATGTCGAGCTTACAGTAGACTCAGCGAAGTGTTGAAAACTTGCATTTGAAGTTCAATCATGAACTAAACTGCAAGGTATCAAATATAGCTAGCCAGCTGTTTATACACCAATATCAATCTACCTTAAATAAACTGAAGGTAGATTGATGGTGTCTAAACAGACTCGGGCGATGTTCTCAGTTTGAGATTCGTATTTAGGTAAAGTTTTTAAACTACGAACACAAGATTGCACTGTTGCAAATCTACACTTAGCCTCTTCTTTGAAGAGCGCGAGATTTAAACACGCGCATTTGAAGTTGTAAACGTAGAAGTAGGACTGAATTCTCTGACGGTTGTGTCTTCCATCTGTCACACCGTAAAATGATAAAGGAATTGGTCCAATGCTTCTATTCACCTTTTAAATTGACTGTTGGCTCATCATAATCTGCATTGTTTTTTGTTTTGTGTTTTACTTCCCTCGTTTTGTTATCCATGCGTATTTTTCTCAATTGCCCTATATGTGAGTAGAAAACGGGTAGAAAGATGTGTGCCATGGTGCACATCATTTTTCCATGTGGATACAATAGTATTGGATACAAATTTTTGATTGGCTGTCGGTCCACACAAATTGTGCTCTTGAGATTCTCTCAAATCTCAGAATCACATAAGAACTAGTAATCTTGTTTTTTCAGTGTAGAGACGTGACTGACAAACCAATTTTGACTACATGGAATTATGGCTAAGAGTGGCACAACCAAAAAGGACACATAAACAACAGCGGTGATCATATAAAATAACATACAAATTAATCCTAAACCCTAAACATTCCAATTTAAGTTACTGTTGTAAGAACAGGAAGATTTTGAGAATGGATTTGCTTATCACAAGTTGATGAAATCACAATAATCAAAATTAACATCTCAATCAGAGAACGAAATTACTGCAAAAAATCATATATAACATCAAACAAAAATTTGCAGATAACATTACTATGTTCCACGCGTTTCAAAACTTATCAAAACACCTTTTAGAACTTACCCCATATCAAAGATAACCCTTTACACAAAGTAATACTAAAAATGTTTATCAGTTACTGGTTACTATGGGTTAAAGAAGTTTACTTATTTGAGCTTTGATGCAGATTGTATGAGTACAACAACTGAATGTACATCAGTTAAATATATCATTCTATGCCTTGCGGAACAAAGATAGCTGCTAATGTCTTTCAGCAATGATATGGTTACTGAGTGTAAAAGCCAAGGACTCGCACTTTCTTATTGAAAGTTGCCATACTCTTCTAACCAATTTACTACAGTAGTTGATGGGACCCAAGAGGTTTCATTTTACCATATGTAAGGCCATCCACGCCCTGTAGCCCGCCGTCAATGATGTTTGAATGGGATTATTTTGGGTAAGAAGATGAAGTCCCGGCAAGACCACATCTGGAATACTTCAGACTCATGATGCCAGTCGCTTTCTCAGACATGGCTACGAAGGAGTCGCCAAAATACTCTGGTTGGACACTATAGGGCAAATTGGCGGGTGACAAGAACTTTTATTGGGTTGCATGGACGTACATCATTACAAAATGAAACCTATTGGGTAACATCAAGATAGTTTTCCAGGTCACATCGAATAATTTGCTCAAGGTATATAGGTGTGGTAAATCACGCTGCATGAGACCACTTACCTAACCCAGTCTACTTGTATTTGAACACATACCTTTGATATAGGATGATAATCTTGCATGGTATTTAGCATTTCTAGCTTGTAAAAAGTATTTCCCTATTACCTTCTGAATTCTAAATGGTGCGACACGAAATGAAAATATCTTTGTGATAAGCTCCGTTTAAAAGTAGTAAGGTTATATGAAGTAGCAGACAAAATTACTTGATGGATGCACGCGGAACATCAAACACTTGCTGAGACCTTCCCCACGGGCGAGTGGGATCTCCGTCCGTCGCGGGGGACGCACGTCTCACGGCGTCTCTAACCCAGACCCTTCCGACGGACGCAAACACAATTCATTTTACCCGACGGTACCGGGACCGTCACCCATGTTCCAAATGCTGGATTCCAATGGACGACCTATAACTAACATGCGAATAGACACTCATTAAACGGATCGTTTCAAGAATTTTATTGAGTGAGTTTGGATCTCACCAACAAGTCTCCTACAACTGTGATTTTTTGGGAATCGAAGAGCTCCAAAAACAAAGTCTACGGATTACACCACAAGATTACAATTTCTGTAGGATCCGAACGAAGATAAAGAGCGAGGCGAGACTAAAGGCCCTACCTGAACTTTATCAAGCTGTTTACGTTGACCACTCCAATGAGTTTCGATGGAGTGATAGTAGCAGTCCTTTTGGTCCCCCAGGGCAGTCTCTTCCCGATACTATAGCTGCCAGGTATCCAATTACAAAAACTCGTACTGGAACATGAGTTACGGTGTGTTGCAGGTAGTACGATAACGTAAAATAAATGTACATTGGGAGTACGATAAGGTAAAATAAATGATGTTAGGTTCAGTAATTTTTTTGGGTTCCGCACGGTCTCATCAAGTAATTTTTTCTATATAGCATCAAACACTTACAAGTGTTTGAAAAATAGTGATATAGTGAAAAGATACACTCTCATGAACGAGATATGGGACTAATCCTTCTGTCCCCAAAGTCATTCATGACTGAAACTAAACTATCTAATTTTTGGGTAGGGTTTAACTCCATATACCAATTTTCATTCTAGTGAAGGATTCTGGCAACTCCTTCAATCGCATCATAAGGTTAACAAATCAGTAGAAAAATGTTTTATGCTATTAAAATTGAAGCTCACCGAGTAACCAATCAAACCATACTTCATACAAAAACTTTGACTTTTCTTCCATGATGTGGTGAATTTTTTCATTGTGTGATAGTTATGAAAGTGATAAATGTAATGAAGAACAACCATATCTTTAAGTTCACGTTTAAAGAGAAGAAAAGTCAGTTTGAAACCTTAAATCTCTATATGACACTTTCTCGTTATATATGCCATAATGTTGATGAATCTCCTTGAATTTTTGTTGTTGTTGAGATTTAAGTTTACAAAAATTGAATAGTGGTTATTGTGTTCTCATAAGTATACAAATTCTATATTTTAATGGTATGACATGAAAATAAATGTTGCCATGTATAAACTTATGGGACAACAGAACTTATGGGACAACAAACATTAAGATGAGTACATAATTTCATGAAGACATATTTAGATTGTAATTTATTTTTTGAAAAAGTCACAATAATAACAACGTAGATGTTTATGTCTCAAAGATGAAACTTGACGAACATCTTTGGGTGTTCATATGCTCTTTCGTTATCACAGTCATAAATAGTAGATTGTGTTATTTAACAATGATCTTAGAAATAAATTTTATACTTTTCTTCAATGAGATTAATTTCTACAATTTTTGACTTACATACTTGCAGCTAAAAAATGATGGAAACGATTTTCGAATATTTTTAAAAATTGGTTTCTTTTATGTTACAATTTCAAATAGCATTAGACTAAATTATTCTTCACTCAACTGTCTTTGCTATTTCCATAATTCATGTGCTAAGATCTATCTTGTTTTATCAAATGTTTGCATTTCAGATTCATCCAAGCTGTATTCATAGTCAATTCTTCGCAAACATACCAAAAAATATAAAGTCCATATATGCGCAGTTTCATTTCAAAGCCTGCTTATGTACGAGACAACAAGATGTGTGAATCCAACTCCGAAGTAAAATAATTCAAGTAAAATAATCTAAGGTTTTACTCGAATGTTTCATTCTTCATACTTTTGGATCATAAGCTTTTCCTCAGCAATAAATTTCCGGAGCATTACATTAAACTGTTAGTTTTCCGGTTACTTTACCAAGTGACATTTGAGTTATGTGGAAAAACCAGAATTGCTTATTGCTCGGTAAGCTTATTTCGCCCACATTATTTGGTCAACTACTCTTGGTTGATGCCTTATGAGATATACCTGCTACATATCTTGCTTTCACAAACATCACACGGCAAAAAAAATGTATTCTTAAGAGTTCTCTCCCTTTTCAGAGATACCCACATAATTGTAAAAATTAGATTTGAAATAATTACAAAATCATGTGATAATTTTTTATATACTAAAAATTTAGCATTATTATTATCGACAAAGCAACCACAGTAATAGAAATATTCTAAATTTTTTATTACTTAACATATACCTTTTAATAACTTGATAATCCGTATTCCGAACGAGAGTTTCTTGGACTAGGATGAAACTTCGAAATCATAGAAAAGTGAGTGAGTCTTGTAATAGATGTCGAGTTCTAGTCCAGCATCACCGCATAATTCATTCGTAAATTGAATTTATAATACTGTCAATCATCAGGCTTACATGTCATATTACAAGGATGAATAAAAGCTCCTTTGCCTTTAACTTGTTTCGAATATTATCCATCGTCGGGTATGTATATTGAGGTCATTTTTCTTTGTAGATTACTTCGCCGGCTTCTAAACTACATCCAACATTGAGCACATTAGTCGAACGCATCATTTGTTCCTAAGTTTGAGAACCTTGGCATGCAGAAAAATACAAATATTTTCCGGATCACTTCAAATTCACAATTAAATTGATCACTTGACATGTTCGCAAGATTAATCAGTGCATTGAACTGAAGAGTTCTCCTCGGAAATAGTCAGGTATCATGTTAATCAGCAGTTGCATAGAAATCGAGATATAGTATGTACCCTAGATCATCCCGACACGTTCTTTGCACGGACGTTTTCGAACGGGGTCTTCAGATGGTCCGATCTGCCGTCTTACAACTTCTGGATAACGTTCAGCTAATTTTTCAATAGCAGCCGATTTGGCGGCTTTAACTACTTTGTTCACATCCTCCTGCACAAAACCTAAATTTAGTTTTCATGACTTGCGAAATTGAACAATTTTTCATTCTTGTAGATTTATTTACCATAAGTCACAACACGAGAGTCAATAATTACCGTTTCCCACAGACAGCACATGGAGCATTCTTCACACGGCGCTACTTGTGGAGCTCTAATATGCTGCAAAATACAGGTTTCTGGTCTGTAAGTAAGTTAAAACTTCTAAACTCTTGCTTGAAATTGAAAAGTTATCTAGGATCTCAATTATACTACAAGAACAATACTGGACCGATTGACGGACGTGACATTGAACTAGATGCAACGTGAACATGTCTAATTCCATAGACTGAAATTTGCATAGAAAAAATGCAGAAAGATCACACCGGACAGAAGTGCGAGTAATCTGTGATGCTTTCACGGCAGCGATAACACATCTGCTGGCCACATCTGCACATGATCTGCAATGTCAACGGTGAATTATTAGTTTCAATGTGTGACTTGCAAAATTTATGATAGGGATGTACAATTAAAGAAAATGTCAGCGTGCGTGCTACATCCACATGCATCGTCCATAAGTCTTTCGCTGAATGCAGCTCTTACATACAGCTTGGCTGATTACAATATTCCGTACTTGAATTACCTCTTGTAGAAGAGGAGAGATTATTAAAGACAAGCAAGTTTAATTTTAAATGTCACATTCAAAAACTTCATCTTCAAACAGCTTTGCCAAGACGAAGTATAAGTATTATACAAAAAATTCTAATCTTTAGAGGTACAACCTTATTGCAGCCTTCAAGCTTAAACAACTCAGCCCCACAGGAACTACAAACTCTGATGACTGCCTTTGTCATGCTCTGCATTACAACTTGAATAACCACAGGTTAATTCGAGAAGATTATGAGCACCTTGATCTCATGTAGTTACTCCCGCATGTTACACCATACAGATTTTCAATTTTACGAGAAGAAAAAGTAATAACTTTGGAAAAACATCGGTTGTAACCATCGAGGAGCATGACGAACATTGATGGATTAAAGTTACCTCTTCAACTTGCGTTCGGACGGTATCCTCTGGGTCCTGTAAAGTTTGAAGTCAATTCATCAGAGACCACCTAGTCATACGTGAACATCATATGCCACTATTATTACCAATATTCACAATAGATATTGCATAGTTGTTCATTGCTAAGATGAACATCACCTATGATATTTCTTGAGAGAACCAAAATGTCGGCAAATTGACGGCACTACAAGTTTTCCGCTACTTATAAATTACTTTCGTACGAGATAAATCAAACGGTTGAGATGAACACACCTTCTCAGTACTTCTGCAAGGGTCAGGTAAGTGGCTTGGTTCCTTACACTCGAGGCAAGTCTCCTTCAGTTTAAAATATATCAAAGTTATTTTCCATTTCAACCATAATATTTGCAATCATTCAGAATATAATTATTTAAATGTACCTTGAGGCAACTCTGATTTATGCAAACAAGAATTTTGATTCCTGGATCAACCTCCCAGGGATGGTTACAATGATAACAGTAAACCTGTTTCACCAAGAAAAGATAAACATAATATCAAAAGAACTTCTGCAAGAAAATCCTCAATTTCTAATAGGTTTTCAGGTTAAGCATCTACTAAGTGTCAACAAATTATGACATGAAAGAAATTGGAATCTCTTTCTCTGGAGACGTTTGAACTAGTTTTCAAGAAGCAATTGCAGCTCCCAATTTGAAAAAGTGTATATTTGCTTCTTATGAAAAGATTTCCAGCCAAAAATCCCTACGATGTTATATGTCTACGTAGATAACAATGAATTTCATGATGTCAAAGTATTCATGATTTTGTTAGTTAGATGTTGTGTATTCATGAACTAAAATGAGGATATTCTTATTTCTTGTGCAACTCTCCTTGAATGTCCACGTTCATGACTTACGAGACCAGCAAGTTGTGCTTTGGCAACAGCCTCTTCCGCCATCCGTCGTTCATATTTCAACCATACATCATGAGAGAAGCACTTTCTTATCTACAAACATTGCAGACGGTATTTGGTAAAAGAAGATTTTGCTGAATCCGATACGAAACGAAAGAGAAGAAGATGTTAAATCTTTGAAGCAAGGAAACTTGACCATGTGTCGTTCACCCACCTCTGAACGAGGGTAAATGCGTTCACATCCTGTTATCGCTAAGCATAAGGTCGATCCGCCGTCGGACGTATCTCCAAAGATAGAGTTTTCAACGTGACGACGAAGACATATAGTGCAGAAAAGATGTCCATCTTCGCACTAGTCCACAAACACTATTTAGAATGGAAGTTTAAAAGCAAAAGTTTAATTTACACGACATATTGTCAACCTATTCCAATGCTTTCATAGAAGGAAACATCAGATCTAGCTATTGATGGCGATCTGACTATGAGCTACAAACACGAAACGAATACTCATGAACGATTCTTTGACAAGAAAACTCGTGCAAACACACAGCAACTATAAGGACCGAGCATTGTGTTCATCCACGAACCTGAACCATGCTGTCGAAGGCACAGCTTTCGAAACAGCAACCACACTCTACCCTGTCTTCCTCTTGTGGTATAGATGGTGGTGCTTCCGGCCATTCGGTATCGTCTTCTTGAACGACCATGTCATCTCTTCGAAAACAAACTGTGTTGGAGGACATGAAAAAGTGATATCAACACACCAAGAAGAGCCTCGTACAAGTGAACAAACTCATGATACTCCTCCCCACCAAATCTCTCTTTCTCAAATGCGGTAGTTTCAGATCGTATCCAACAAAACCTCGACTCTGATGGCAGCTGCAATCATGTTCGTCTGAACGCACCTTCGCATTTCCCATGAGCTCGAAGGAAGCCGGAGAACGCACTTCCTCCATGGTTACCGACTGGCGAGCTCTTGACTTTGACTTTGACGCGCTGGATCCGGTCATCTTCTGAACGAACTTGAGACCGGAATTGGAGCGGAATGCAAGAGGAAATCACAATTCTCCATTTTCCATTTTGGATGACTTACTGTTTCCGGTCCCATTTTCTTGGGTGCTCTTCTCTGTCCCCGGCCGCCGTATATTCAGATGTGGATCGACGGTTCATTGTGGGACATGAGAATTATTGCAACTCGACGTTCTTGTTATCAGATGCAAGGGTTCTTCCTCAACAAGCGAATCGACATATTTTGCAAGTGGCGTGCCACTCTGAAACATGGTCGGTTGGAGAGAAGTCGTTGGTCTGTGATTATTTCATGTTTATCTGGTTTTTTTCAAATTAATTGATTTAATAAAGTACACTAGTGAAAAAGCGATCATAATGTACAGCTTTGTAAACATAGATTTCGCATCACGTCCATGATTGTTCTTCGTGAAAAGAAATTGTAGCTCAATCATTTTTTGGTGCTGAAGACGTCCACAATAATTCTCTTTGCTACATGGAGCATCATATGGTGTTTACTGCAACCACTGCAGGTGCTGGGAGTATAAATCCCTTCCACATACCGTACAAATTGAGACTTCGATGGTTTTCCTTGATATCTAGTCCTAGTGATACTCGACTCGCATCATATAACGAGGCAAATTTTCCCATCAGTTTGATCTATGTTTCCTGAACTTGTGCTGAACCAGCACTGTTCTGTTCGTTATTGTTATCAATGATAACATTCATGTTACGTGACTAATCTCTGTACTCCATGAGTGACCCAACATACTTACTTTATATGCACGCATTGTCGCAGATTGGAGAAGACATCCACGGTATCTATATCATAAAATCATACGATGTAAAACATTTACTTCCACTGTAACTTCGACGTGATGCGCCACTACATGTTACTGCTTTCAAATCTTGTACACGGTTGCTTTCAAGCACAGGAACTAAACTGGTAATCACAGAAAATCGGCATGAAAACGAACGAAGGGTTGATTACCAAATAGTCTACACACCTACCACCCTTCGTAAAAAGCTGGTGCGAAAGCAATCTCGTGACGGAGCTGTTCACTTTCATGTGCACTGCATTCTGCAAATGCATTCAATATTGCTTGATGATGGAATATATGGATCAGACGTATTATAAAACGGTTGACTTCATGTCATACAAGATACATGTCCGACGCACCAATTTTGGGATGAACACCAAGCACTCTTGCATTTTCTCTCGCGGCTCTCGAAAACGGGCGGTCAGCTACGCAATTGCCTAGCAAAAACACACAAAGAAGCCCAGAGTCCAGTGGGCTCTAAAAGTGAAATTGCCATAGTGCTGCTTCGAGTGATCTGACATCCGCCACATAGCGGGGATGGTGCTCGAAACCGTCATGAAACCATGTAATACGTCAGAGAGCTCCATTCTTGAAAAGAGCTGGAAAAATAAACAACCTCGTAACAATAACGCTCTAGAGTGAAACAGACTTCCTCATGCTGCGACAAGTAACTATCGGCAAGATGTGAACCAGTCACTCATGATCTAAAACTTCTCCCGAGGGCCAGGCAGAAACTTCATCTGCAGTTGGCCTTAACGTATCAAGGGGCGAGTGGACCGTGCAGCAATCATTTTCAGTACACCATTGTCAAGATGACATACTCAAAACCTCTACCCTTTCTTTCTCGAAGGATAAAAGTACTCGCAGCTGATTCCGAAGGGAAATTTGGGCAGACTTCTAAGCAAAAACACTCGCAGCCGTTCACATTCAGGAAAATGCGCAACCTATGCGGTGACAGGTCCAGCTTGCTCTACCGCAGCCATACTGGCTTGCTTTTTTGCCCAAGCTCTAGCCCTCGCAGCGCCCTCTCTCCATCGTTTTCTGCGGGCGGCATCTCTGGCAATAACAGCTGCTTTGGTCTCTGCCTTCCGTTTCGCGGCCTGCGCCTGTGAAGCAAGAGCAAAAAGGCGTGGTGGTAAGATCTGCCCGTTTTTCGATGATCAACTACATCCAAGGTCACGGGGATAAGGTCACTTCCCAGATACACATCCTTTTCGTCCACATCATGACCAAAGGAGAGCGTAATCCACTGAATGCGATCATTTCTGGACAATCTATTCCTTACATTGCTGGTGACCAAAAAACGATAACAGTACCTTGGCGAACGCGTCCCGCTGAGCCATTCGTTTCTTGTGCTTTCGGTTCTTCACACTACCTTCGTTCGGTTGATACGGCAACACTGGGACTCCAGGTTCCACTTGGACGAAGGCGTGAGGAACTGCAAGTTTCCATCTCAAATTTGGTCAAATCCAGGCCTATGGCGTCCGCAGCATTGTATGTATAGATGTCAGTTTAGCCAACTCTACTCTTATCACTAGAATACTGCCCCACTCGTGACGCCCTGATCCCTTATACGGAAACTTCGGCTCAATCCGCAGCCTGCAAGGCTCTGGAGAAATAGAGCTACGTTACAGAATGAAAGTATGAATTTCTTCAAGTTCATGACTGTTCCAGTGAAAAACACGACTTCCAGCAAAAAGGAGAAATAAAACAAGAGCCCTGCAATCGAAATGCAACAAATTGATGCGTGAACATACCCACCCCCTTGCCACTTCTTCGGTCGTTTAGCATAGGATCGCGACCGAATGCAGAAAATCGCTGGCGCAGGAGTTAAAGCCACGCCCGCAGAGGGATTCACAGGGGGATACAAAAAACTGCGCCACGCGGCCGCAGGAGACATTGTCGAGGACGACGAAGAGAAATAAGAGCGGATGTCATCGGACACCACGGACGAAATTCCGCGCGAAGAGGCCGACCCAGAGGCAGAACCAGAGCCAAAGCGGCAAGCACCTGCCAATCGCACGAGAGCCGATCGAGAGCTCCGGAGCATGGCCATCGATCGAGTCGATCGACACAAATCAAAGCACACGTCAAATCGAACCGCGGCACTTTCGCAACCCGATTTCGTCGTCCAAATTCCACATCGATCGAGGAACTGAGCCCTAAGCGAAAACCATCGCTCCCGACTCTGCCTCGACCTCTGCCTCATTCATTCCCTGCATTCCTTCGACCGCCACGTGTCCTTGGCTCCTACCTGGTGGTGGGGTCGCTCATTCTCCGGCCGGCTGCCGGCCGGACAGACCGACGCACATTCGGAGGGTGCCGTAGACTGGACCTGAAGTGCAGAATTCACGTGCCGGAAAAGGGTTTAGGGTTTTGCGCTGAAGAATCAAGGAGAAGGCGAGCAGAATCCCGGTCGACGAGAGCTGAAAGTGTCTATGGAAGACTGAATTTGGGACAGGAATTGCGTGGCTTTGTGCGATCGGATTTGGTCGTGATCTGCATCCGATCTGGAAGCGTCGCGATGGGTAAGAAGCAGAAGAAAGCGGGAGCAGGGAAGGAGAAGACGCTGAGAAAAACAGCGAAATCTGAAGAGAAACAGAGGAAGAGGGAGGATAAAAAGTTGAAAGAAGAAGATGACATCGATGCAATTCTTGTAAGGAAACTTTCGACGGAATTGCATGTTGTTTCATCCTGTTTAAAACAATTTGGTTCTAGCATTTTCACCTGTATCGAGTGTCGCGAGTTCTATCAACAACTTTCTGAGAGATCGTACTTAGTCGAATTCAATTACAGCAATTGTACGATAACGGATATTGAGCATTTCTCACGCTCGCTGAATTGCACCAGCATTCAATGTCACTGCGGGCACTGAAATACGCATGTCTCTCATGTACCAAATTTTGAGCTCTGTACTTTCTCGACGTAAGAAATGAGATTTTACAATTCGCGAGTTTGTTCTTTTAATGTATGGACTGTCACTATCTTGAGCAGGCTAAAATTCAGAAGGAAGATTCTAAGAAGGTAGCCGTGCACATTGATGAGAATGTTCCGGCCCCTTCTCCTCGTTGTAATGCTTCGGTGAGTAACTTGCGTTTTTTTGTGTACAGTATACAGTTTTTTCGGGTGGTGAACTGTGATCTGCCTGAAACGTTTTGAATCTTTAATTGGCAACATTATATACAGATCATACAGATTTCTTTCACATGTTTTTCTTCTTACTCGGTATAAATTTATGTTCCTTTGGTTACAGCTCACACTGCTCGGTTTAAGATTCCTAATGCCTGCTTCCAATTTCTCAATAGGTGACTATTAATCCCACGAAGGACAATGAATTGATCATTTACGGAGGTGAATATTATAACGGTGTGAAGGTGAGCATACCTTGGAGCTACCGAAGAATCTTCTGTCTTTGACTGGAATGTGTTTGAACGATTGACCTCATGTGCTCTTTGCATCCTCCTCCTTACGAGCTGGAGGACAGAGGAAGTCCTTTTACAGTCAGTCCACCTATTTGTGTGTCAGCCTACTACCCCAAGATAGGCAGCCAGTTTTTTTTCATGGGTCAACGTAGTTACTTAGAGCAGTAGTATAGCAAGTTTCAATTGTTTTCTTGTTGCTCATATACTGAGTATAGACTTCCAGACTTTTGTTTATGGCGATCTTTACAGGTATAATGCAGAAAAGGCTGAGTGGAAACATGTATCGAGTCCGAACAGTCCGCCACCTCGGAGCGCCCATCAAGCCGTTGCCTGGAAGAATAACCTCTTCATTTTTGGTGGGTAGAAATTTATGGACTGAGTCGTCAAGATTTTACACTTGAGTGTTGATCCTGTTCCGATTTTGGATGCACACTGCTTTATCCACATACGTGCCTTCTCTTTTTCAGGAGGGGAGTTCACCTCGCCAAATCAGGAAAAGTTCCACCATTATAAGGTTTCCGCGGCTTTTCCTTTAGTCATCATTTCCTTCGTACTTGCATCTCACTATGGATAGGTGACCTATTTGTGTATGTACATTCTCGTCTAAAGACCAACATATGAACGCTGCATATCTCAAGGTCTACTGATGACGTGAATGTGGGTTTTCTGACCAGGATTTATGGAAATTCGATTTGACGACCAACACCTGGGAACAGCTGAATTTAAAGGGTGCCCCAAGTCCTCGATCCGGTCATCGTATGGTAGGTCTCCTGCTTTTTCTCCTGATCTGATTGTATATCCTACTTATTTGCAATTACTCAAAAGCTCATATGTGGGTGACATTTATAACCGCATGGATACGTTCCTAATTATTTACCAGTAACAAAGTGAAATATTTCAATTGGTGAAAGGACTAGCCTACCATTTATGTCCCGGTCAGTTGTTTCCAGCTTTTAACTACAGAAGACCTAACAGTTGTTCCTACTATCAGATCATGTACAAACATAAGATAATATTATTTGGCGGCTTTTATGACACACTTAGAGAAGTCAGGTGAGCAAATTCTATGACCAATCTCATTACCAGTTATTGTGCGAAGTTTTGAAGCGTTCGTCTCTTCATGGGGAGTTATCACTCGAAGATTGATTGAGTGGTATCGCAGGTATTTCAACGACTTATATGTATTGGATCTTGATGACTACAAGGTTGGTCTGTGATGTTTTGATCTCTTTTCGAAAACTGGAGTAAAGGACATCTGATACTGAGTCGCATATTCTACAAATTTCTTTGTCCCTTATTTTGCTCAACCTTGCGAAGTTTTATATGTTTAACGGTTTGTTGGTTACATTCTAGTCTGGAAGATGCGACAAGGTCATAGTTTCATTGACTCTGAAAGGAGGTAATGTTTCTCATCTTTGCAGTGGCAAGAAGTCAAGCCAACTCCAGGCCAACTTTGGCCAAGTGCAAGAAGTGCCTTCCAATTCGCGGCAACGGGTGATGAGGTGTGCACATTTTCTTTGCAATTAGGTGCAACGTTGCAACACCAAGAATTACGTCCAAGCTGGAAACTTCCACCACTCCTGAAGGCCCTCTGAATCTTGCAGATATTTATGTATGGAGGATACTTCAAAGACCACACCAGTGTTGATAAGGAAGTTAGCGAGAAGGGAGTCGTACTCGCAGACATGTGGAGTTTGGATCCGCGGACGTTCGAGTGGAACAAGGTGAAGTTTGTGTAGGAAGGTTTTCTGCCAAGCTCTCCTGTTCACAAGATCTTATTGTGGTATCCATGATTTAAATGTTAACACACGATTATGCTGAGTACAGGTGAAGAAGATCGGGCTGCCCCCAGGACCCCGCGCTGGGTTCTCGATGTGTGTGCACAAAAAGCGTGTCGTGTTTTTTGGTGGGGTTGTGGACAGTGAAGATACAGGTACTAAAAAGAATGAGGGGAATGCTGATGATGGTCAGATACATGTTGATGTCAAAGCATAGCTTTAGCCAAATGGCCGTGGACATAAGTAAGAATATCGAGCAAGTGTTATGTATGGATTCGCTCGTGCGCTAAGATTGTTTAGCCTTCTTGACCAAGCGTAGGAGATAAGTGTATATTAGCAACTAATAGGTATCTTTCTGCTGTACTCAGGTGATCTTATGAGGAGCATATTCCTGAATGAAATGTATGGATTTCAAATGGATAATCGTCGATGGTAAGTACGTTACTTTTCGTCGTCGTGTCAGTGAGGAGAAGCAAACATGTTGTAAGAAGTTTTTACACTAGCTGACTCGGAATTTTCAACATCACCAGGTATCCGATGGAGTTGCGAAAAGCAAAAGTAGCGAAGCCCAAGGTGCAAAATACGGTCTACTCCATATTCCCTGCGAGTATGAACTGTTTTGTAAGACTGTTGAGTTTATCTGAACGGAGGTAGAAAGTATGTGGCCTCAAACTCTTTCTAATTTTTGAGAACTCACTTTCCCTGTGGTGTTGTTTGTATGCATTCATGATCACTTTTCAGACCAGAGGACGGGGTGGTAAAAGCTCTGGCCCAAGCCTGAGTGATCAGCCCGGTTCAGACACTCTTGCGAAAGTTGAGGAAACTGCAGAAGTTGCAGATATGGACATCGACGAAAAGGCCGAGTTGGCCGAGCAGATGAAAGGAACTCTCTTACAGGAGAATGACAGTGTCGAAGATGAGGTAAACTCTGGAAGCGTAGGTCGCTCTTTGATCGCTCAATTATTGAAGCAGATTATATTCTAAGAATGTAGAGCCATCTTTTCAATATCGAGGACGTTGCGCCTCACTATGTTGTTGACCTCCGATTTTAATCTTGATTCAGATTGTAAGACCTTGTGGGCGTATCAACGCTTCAATGGTTGTTGGGAAGGACACTTTATATCTCTATGGTGGTATGATGGAGATTGGTGATCGAGAGATAACTTTGGATGACTTGTACACGTTGGACTTGAACAAATTGGATTCGTGGAAATGTTTAATAGAGGTAACAATTACCTCACAGCCATAAAGTATACTGATCATTTCAAATATACTGTAGTTGTTAAGGTACTGTGCAATGAAGGCTAAGAGATGATTGATATATAGAGCCCTGAGAAGACTTCGCTTTCGCTGCCCTGGGTTTTAAGTATTTGAATATTTTTTTAAACCATAAGAAGCGATAAATCTGGCATGTCCTCTGGGTTCGTATGTTACGTAGATTTTGGAAAAAGATCAGTGTCTTACGGGCTCCATTATTTCTTAGTGAGAAGAAGGTTTTGACCTCAGAAGTATGAGCTCACTAGCTTGCATCTTACGTGAATCTAGGCAACCGAAGCTGATTGGGTAGAGGAGGAGGACGATGATGACGACGAAGACGACGAGGATGATGATGAAGATGATGAAGAAGACGATGATGATGAGGACGACGATGATGAAATGGCCGAGACGGTAAGATCTAAATGTTCATGTCATCTGGTTGCGAGTGTGAGCTTGATTTTTGAGAGGAAGGAATATGACTTCAGTTTCCAGAAAACTTCAGATTTGTCTTTCCTGCGCAAAATTCCTTTGCAGAAATATCGTTGCTTAATGAATTGTGGTCAACTTTAGCCGATTGGTCTGAATGTTCCTGATCAGACGTACTGTTTTTTCACATCACTTTCTTGGATTTGCCGATGCTCTTAACGTTTTAACAGGACAAGGCCGAGAGCTCTGCTGCACCATCAGCGGCTGAGGCTGCGGCCGCCGTGTTGAGAGGAGGGGGGAAGAAATTATCTCGAAAGCAGCGCAAAGCAGAGATCGATCGGATTCGAGCAGAGCTTGGTCTTGCTGATGCTCAACGCACGCCCTTGGTACATTTCTGCACTTCACGAAGCTATATCTTATATTAAGCGGACGATGCCCTTATCGTCCGCCAACCACCTGAGATCACATTTATGTCTTACCTCTTGGAATGCTGTCTGAGTTTGGTACTGGTGCGATTGGTTGGTTCTCTTTTGTGCTGCAGGCTGGTGAGACTCTTAGAGACTTCTTCAACAGGACTCTCATGTATTGGCAGGAAGCAGCATATGCTCACACGCAACATACGGGCAAGGTGAGCTTCTTGTGTTTTTTTAAGTTCACAGAAGATTACTGTGATTATCAGAAGATGAAAATCTGAACTTGGCTAGCTAGCTTCCAACTCAAATGTTCTTGTTATGTAACCTTCAGTTTCAGTACACTGATTATTTCTCTGTTGCTGGAGTTACATGCATTTGAATGCCAAAACTGATCAATGACCCCAATGGTTTCCTGTCGAGCAGGAGTTGCGAAAGGATGGATTCGATCTGGCAGAGTCGAGATATAAAGAACTGAAACCAGTACTTGATGAGGTAGGATGCCAAATTAGGACTTACTTTGAAACTGGAAAATCTTGTCGTACATATTCGTGTAGTGTTTGACTCGTTTTCTGACGGACCTTTTCGTTTTGCAAAACAGTTGGAAAAGTTGGAGAAGGATCAAAAGGCAGAGGAAGAGGAGGATGCTTCTCGACTGCTTTCGATGAAGAAATCGAAAGAAAAAGCGAAGGCTGGTTCACGCCGTTGATGGGGGATTTGGATTCGGATTCGGACAGCGTAGTTGGATTTAGATTAGGGTGCGAGAGCGGGATTTTGTTGTTGTAGAGTGAAATTAAAAGGCTGGTAGTATGTTGATTCCAGAGGTGTTGCTGCCTGCTGTTAGAATTCCACCTTTCGTAAAAAGGGGCGGGAGCAAGTTGGTTATTTTTCTCGAGGACGTCGTCCTGTTCACAACGTATAATATTGTATACAAGCATCGGAGAAGACTTTCAAAGGAAACTTCCAACGTGTATGCTCAGTCAGAGTGAATGATGAATGATGAATGATGGAATGATGATCGATTATGCATCAACAGCAAATAATTTCCTCTGTCTATCAGATTTCTACGGTCCAATTTCACTGATTCAAGGTTCACAATGGCAAACCAAAATTTTCGGATATGCACAATGACATGTCTTGAGGACAAACTGACAGAAGCGAGTGCGTCTACCGGTTACGTCGTGCTTAACTCTTGTTTGACGAGAGGAAGGTGAAAAAGGCAGAAAGTAGACGACACGGCAACCGAACTGTACAGCAAGACAGCAAACTGCACAAAGATGAGAACTCGTTATGCACTCTGTCACTTGTGGCCCTGGTGTAACGATCGCCATAACTGCTAGACTCGCAGAAATGAGTTTTAGTTTACTCATTAAGTTGTTGTGAGGGTCTGTTTGTGCGCGCAGAATCCGGATCTTCTCGTCTTCTTCGTGAGCACACAGGAGGGGAAAACACTGGGAGCCTGAAAGGTGATGTGCAACACTGCACCAGTCGAGCTCTTGAAAGGGTGGAAGTTGAATTGCGTACAGTGACCAGGCTCTGTGCTCGGACAAATCAATTGAGGATGCGTCCCGTGGGAGATGCTTCGAACCAGTTCACGCTGCATAAGACGTAATATTTGTATTTCGATTTGCTTCCGAAGGATGCTTTGTGGTAGAATCTGAAGACGAGAACACATGCGCCGATCGATTGACAATGTGCCCGAGAATTCGTAGACTTGAAACCTTAGAATTCAAGGCCATCACACCAGCCCCTTCGTGTGACCGAGGAGATGCCTGTGTGCAACCATTGCTCACAAATCGTGAGCTGCAGGACTTGCAACGAGCATCACCAACCTGTGTTTTCTATCCCGAGGGAAAGAATCCAGGAAATAGACGCTTGCTCCGACTGCACGCAGGACATGAAGCGCAGCCTTCAGGAGAGAACGAAGGATGTGAGCAATCTGAAGAAAACTGTCATGTGCTTGAAGGAGCAGCTAAACTTCTTGCGGAAATTGGACTCTAAACCCGGCAGTGATCAGTTCAGAGGCGACGTCACATTTGTGGTAGAGAGTGGGAGGCTCCATGAGATTGTCCAGGCTCATCAATTCATCCTGGTAATTCCTTCACGCCACGAGAATCATTGGGCTCTGTAGGAGCTAAATGTCCATTCATTCCACTGCGGGATTTCAATTTGTCCCTTCCTGTGCAGGCCAGCAAGTCTCCCTTGTTTCGCAGCATCTTTGATCCTGGAATGCACGAGAAGCTACCGGCAACAATCCATGTGTACGATACTTCAGCCCCTGTGCTGCGGGCGATGGTGAACTTCTGTTACACAGCCGAGATTTCGTACAATCACGATGTTACACCCGAGAAAGTGTTGAGAATCTCCCATAAGTACGACATTCCTGAATTGAAGTGTAACGCCGAGACAGTTCTCGTTCAGGGCATCAACCAGGATAACCTTGTGCACACGATTAGACTCGCTCACAAACATGACTCGCCAGTTCTCAAAGAGGCCGCCATAGCCTATTTTGAAACTCACTTCGCAGATGTCAAAAACTTCGTTATTGATTCTCTTGTAAAGTAATTAGTATTCATAAATTCAGTCTACTGCTTCGAATCTGTCATCTGAACAGAGAGGTCTGATTTGCCTTGCCATGTACGTACGAGTAATGCCAACCGCAAGAGGGTACATCGATCGCAAAGCTAACTGACCGAGAAGCGTAGGCAGGGCAGAACATGGCAGAGGGAGAGCATTTATCCTTCATCAGGTCAGAGCCAGGAGCACTCCCCGTGTTACCACTCGCACGAATCCTACAGATGCCATGGGATGCAAGATCGAGCCAAAACCCACATTGTGACAGCGTCGACACTCGACGGCCCATTCAGCCTCGTTCACTACCAATTCTTGCATTCCTTCCTCTGAGTTCAAAGTTAACAATGCTCTTCCCGCAGCCCACCACAGGAAACATCCTGTGGTGGGAAGAAACCTTCGAGTGCTCAGTGAATTACCATGTCTGCTGAGAAAACAACCACCGGGGCCGTCGTGTCATGACGCAAGTACTGCGAAAGTGGAAGAAGAAAGGGAGCAGAGGACCGCTGGAAAACTGAAGGAGTTGCGAGCAGACCAGCTATCAGATTGACAGTGCTGGCAGAACTATGCGAGCAGTAATGAGGAACCAGGCCGACGAAACGGAGTCCTCCAGTGACCATCAACGATATCTACGCGGGAAGGATCAACCTATCGTCACGTGGATTCGGCCGCTTCATCAGCGGATACAAGCGGTGCATAGGATTCTGCACAGGTCTGCGCGGTGCCTGACAATAACTCGAAGCCCAACAAGTCACGGTGAAAACGATGGCCGTTGCCCAGACCTATGTCAAATACTGCCTAGCACTAACTACCTTAGAGAGACGAGATGCCAAACCGAAAGCAAACTCGAGAGAATCGTGAGATTGTCATCACACAGAAACAAAGTCCAGCGACATAAAGCAAGAACTGGGAGTGTCGCCCCACTGGGAACAACTTTCATGAACGCAGAAAGCGAAGTAATTCATCCTGCAAGAGAAAATTAAAGAAAACCTGAACTGCGCCTGATATAAACTAGAATTAGGACTTGTGAGCCAGCTACCCGATTATATGTGACCGGTAGTACTGATTGGAACCTCTCGATCACTTAACAGCCTAGAACGAACGGTAGCAAAATTATTGAGCATGAAAAGAGAAGAAGAGTCCAGCGGACAGGATTGAAGCGCACGAATAAGCGTATGCACCCAAGTTCACCATCACACAAAATTCACCAGACAGTTCGCGTGCGAGCATAGAATGGATAGGATTTATTGAAAAAATGATATCTCTCAGAGGCATATTTGGCCAGGAGAGGAAGACAACTATGTTAGGGTGCTTTCAAATAAGGCCCCTGGCAACTCAAAAAGCTGCTGCCGAAGGGCGTCTAAGGGCAGACAAAAAGGCACTACTTTTACGGGCTGGTTGCTGTTGGACAACCACGGAATAAACCACCAAATCCCCTTCTTGTGTGCCAACTAAAAAACAATCCTCGGGTGTCACAACCAAGGCTGTTACAGGTGAGGTAGTACCATCATACTTTCTAATTACTTCCAATGTGTACATGCTCCTGACGACAATTTGACCGTTGTCACCTCCATAGACTATAAATTCCCCACAACTGCTCAGCTCCATGCAATTTACACGTCCATTGGTTTCTGCTACGGCTAGCTTCTTCCCGTTCACCGAAAAAAGGTGAAGGTTCAGGTCTTCGTTAGAGAACATGACCAGGCGCGCCTGTTGTGACACGAGAAGCTTCGATATAGGACTCTTATTTGGGTGCTGAATGGATCGGACGTATCGGCCCAGTCGCAATGTGTGAAGGATACAAGTGGAGTCCTTTGACCCACTGACCACAAGGTCCAACTCTACTCTAACTACAACACATGTTACGGCGTCGTCATGTCCACATAAAACATGACGAGGTTTATTGGATATTATAACGGGGTCTAGTCTATTAGACCTCTCATTACTGCTACTGCTACTACTACTGCTAGAGTCTTTGCCTCCAGTTGTCCGCCTAGTTTTGGCAAGTTCTACTTCCCATACCATCACAGTTGTGTCGCAACTTCCAGTCACCACCACACTTCCATCCACAGCCACTGCGCAGGGAACACCACAGTTGGCAAGTCAAGGTTTTAACTTATATTTGCTCAAGACAGAAACGAGTGTGCGAGCAGGTAAAAATCAAGATAAGAGTATCAACTTACCAGAGAGGCAGTTGATGACGTCTTTGTGATGACAGTTGCTTTGCACCATACGTCCATCTGACATGGACACAACCTTGAAGCTGTTGTCCCACTGACCGCACGTTAGAAGGAAGTTGTGAGATCGAAAATGAAGGGTGCCAAAACAACCTGGAGTGACAGGTACATCATCTACCATCGGACCACCAATTCTGCGAATGAGTGTCGAATCGGAACCGATGCCATAAAATGGTTCCTGCTGACATTCACGTTCAGCACACAAATCCGTTACGACCGATCGGAAGCCAAAGGTTTCGTCCATACATTTCTTTCATAGTTTTCGTTCATATAAATTCTATAAGTAATAAGTATCAATAAGTAGTAATAAAGTTAAAGATACAAGCCATGAATGACTTGCTTATACCGTTGCCAACTATGAAATAACGACAGTACAAAATAGATCGAGAAGACCTTATAATTTGTCTTCGGTTTCAACGGGGTGAACTTACCTGCGACGAGGAAAAAGTGAAACTGCCTCCTCCTTGTAAAGCGGGTGTTATCCAAGCACGGACAGTGATGGTTAGGTTACTGCTTATGGTTACCACCTTCCCATCCACTAGCCCGACAAACACCGTTGGATAACTCTTCAGTCCAGCTGCTGCTCCAGGTATAGAGGTAGTCACGCTGATGGAAGCAGGAACGTAGTAAAGAGGCCGAGTAATAGGCATTGGAAGCCCCCTTTTCGGGTGCTTTTTTCGAAAAAGTTGTACCGGGGTTTGTCCGAAGTTAGCAATCTGGTCCTCAACTGCAGCTCGTTCATTCAGACTCTCGATAGCTTCCAAATTCACAGCGCCCTCGTATGTCAAATGATAGAATACATTGGCAGCCTGCAAAACATATGCAATCCATAAAAAAGGAATTGAAAAGCAGTCACATGAAGAACCCAAACTGGTCAGATGGTGAGAGTATAATGAAGATGAAAAGCAGTAAACATACGAAATAATGGGATATCCTTTAAATTGCCAGGCTTACAATATTTTCCACTTTCAAGAATGTTCTCCACTCCACTCTCTAGGATAATTTAATCAATTTACTTGTTTAACTGCTTACACTGTGGTTATAGTCAAACTTTCGCGTTAGGTCGAAACCAAGCAATTGTGAAAAAATCTATGAATTAGACCATAGTTTGTGAGTCCAGGCTCAAAGCTAAGTCTAAAAACTGTATACATTGCTGTTCAGTTAGTTAAGTAAACATCTTGCCAGGGATCATTCTCATTTCGGAATCCTATCTTTCAATAATAGTATGCTCTATTGTATTAGTTTTGACAGAAGTTTTCGTAATTTGGAAAAGCGAAATTCGTCCCAAACGGTTTAGCCAGAACAAGTTACTCTTGGAACGAGCGTCTTCGTGACCTTTGGAAACACTGTAAAAGAAGAGCAGTTCAAGGCAGAAGGCCAGTTTCGGCGCATAAAAGACATAAATCTGTCGATAGCGGTCTATGAGATGCTGTCACGAAGCTCAAAATACGACCTTTTCGGGGCATCACCCCAATTCACTGCTAGTTAGCGCCGAAAACTGCAGTTGGGCGCAAATCAGTCAAGCTGATACTCAGCTACTATCCAATTGAGATGTGGGGTGGTGATAGCAATCTAGCTGAATTCGAGATGGACCTTGATTCAAGATAAAGAGTGTTACATATTGGAGCTTCAATTTTCCATTTCCTATCAAAAGCCGAGTCTCTGACCTCAGGAGCATTGTTTGGATTCTTACTCATGGTTATATTGAGTGTTAACTAGCTAAGGCAAGTGCAAGAGAGTCCACATGACCTGGTTTGGTAAGAGAGATGTCAACTGGAGGTGATCCATCTATTGTCTGTTGTTCTGTGAGATAATCCTCTGTTCATTATCCTTATACTACGCAATCCCAATACATAGAAGACTTTTTCAGGAGAAAGAAGAGAACAAAAATACAGTTTACTCCATCACTGAGGAAATGACTGCTGATATGCTAAAGGAGCACTCTCAAAAGAGAAACCTAGGAAAGAAAGATCGATCTGTTTATGCCTCCTCATTAAGTGACAGTGTTGTGAATTACTCTGTGAGTCGGACCATATAAATAACTCAGTAATGCACATTGGAACCACTGCTGAGTACGTAAAGTAATCAAGTTCGAGAGTCTAATTTGCCAATATAAATTCATCAAGTACAGATCACCCTATTGATGACTATTAGATGACTTGAGCTATTAGATGACTAGGGGTGGTGATAGCTTGGTTCAGAGTGGAGAGTGCTGTATTCAGAGTTCTAATCTCAATGCTCACAATCTACCTAAGTTCGATATAGAGTGAACTATGACAAGAGCAAGACAGTCCGCAGGACATAGGATATCCACGTGGGATATCAAAAAGTACTAAAGAATAATGCTTTAGTATGGATTGGCACCTCATAAGCTATATCATGAGACAATGGTGAGAAAAAAAAATGTCAGTTCCTCCAAAGGATACTCATTGTTTTCATACTGCGGAAGCCGAAATATCTCTATTATGAACTGCGAATATTTCACCTCATGCAGATCTTATTCAACAAACAATAACCACAGTACTCTCAAAATGGTCATGCTCGCTTCATTACCTCTAAGGCTGACTTTCCACGTTGCTTATAACCGAATATCAGATCGATCCACTCATTCAGATGATCTGATACGTACTCGCTTTCCAATGCCTCTCGATGCTTACGAACGAACTCTTCAGCATCCTGCCAATGAACATCCAACCATATTTGAGACAGCCTGTGAATGGTTTCAGATTCAGAAATAAAAGGCTTGGCAATAAGACAAAATCTTCAACATTACACATGAAAAGCGTGTGCATCTGTCATTACCTTCGCCCAAGGTGGAAGAATTACATCCCCAAGTTCTTCTCCGTCCTGTTTCACTCCGATAAAATACTGGTTTGTGTTTGCCAAAAACTCCGGCATGTAGAAAAATTCCGGTACAAGCTCCTTAACGTCGCTGGTATTCGTCAAACAATTCGCATATGCACCAGAAATGCTATGAAAGAGTCGATCAGCATGATCAAACTTCCCTCCCTGGGCCAGTCCACGAGAAGAATGTCGGTAGGCATCTTGAAGAACTAGAAGAGCCTAAATGAAATAAGCAAAGAGACCGGAGATTCGAAACTAAATACTAACATAAGCTGTTGTACAAGGAGGGAGACGACACCTGGAGGTGACGATGAAGCGTTGAGAACGGTTCAAGTCGAAGCAAGTAGAATAGCACGATACCCATACTTGAGTAATGTGACCCATAGTAGAAACTGCAGGTTACGTAAGCAAGACAAGGAACAAAAAATTCAGTAATAAACGCATCGTGATTTTTGAACGATACACCACAACCAATTCAATGTAACACTCGTCCTCTTACCTGGGAATGTCGGGATCACTGAAGCTACGAAATCGTTCTTCAAACATCTGTAACAGACCCAAGGATGGCAACACTTCCGGTCACTCTTCATTTGTACAAAAGATAAAGATAAGATAAAGTGTTTGCAACCATTTATATTAATAGCTCCTATTCGCATTCACAGCTAATCTCATATCTCAATTTGGCTGTCCTTCGCAATTGTCATGAGCTGCACGATGAACTCAAAATTAATACATATCCAACTAGACAGGTTCGATGCGCACTGCTTTGCTAAACTAAAGTAATGAAGTATCCCGAGAATACAAATTGGAGGCCCAACGCGGTCTAAGACAGGGTATTCTTCCAACGCTGTTACAGTGCACACCTGAAATCGTTTCTCATTTAAGGCGCCCACCGGCTTGGATAGATCTCGAAATGTTGCCGGATTTGCCAAGTCCAATTTCTCTGAGGTATAATCAGCAACTATCCAAGGGAAAACAGGATACTGAGTGAGGTCGTTGTATGACCTTCCAGCCACAGTGTTCAGGGTCATCAAGTAATCAAAGTTGCTGATCTCTCGACGCCTCCAGCGATCTCTAGCCCTTTCGGCTACATCTATCGCTTTTCTCTTGTCAATTAGAACTAGACTTTCATCTTTCTCCTTCGAACCAGGTTTCGTTGCTGTTCCACGACTTCTGAGATTTATAATCATAGTGCTCACGTCTTTGGCATGCTTTTGGGATGGGAAATTCAAAAATACTGGCGGAATCGAGTGACTGAAGAAGATCTCGAGAGCAGTATATTGTAGGAGAAATCGCGTTCCTTGAATCCCTTTAACCTGCAGTTCGGAAATTACTGGTTGAGCAAGACAGATTGAAACGCTATTCTCATAGTTTGGATACATCTATGGCAGTACACAGTAGAGATTCACGTTAGGACACATTCCCAGCAACAAATCAAAAGTACTCTTCAAGGCGATCTCGAAAACGACAAGGAAAACTCGTTCCTCAAACTAACCTGAAAAAGGTCCCATCTTCTATGCCGTTTGACGTCTTTTGACGTCCCAGATGGTGTTATATTACGAACAGGCTCAAGCCTATCCATTGCATTCCCCTTCTCCATATCTCCAGCACCACCTCCGGGAATGCTTTCTTTCTTCAGACCGGACTTTGATCGAGAAGATCCTTTCTCTAGTATGTCTGAGCTCTGCAAATCAGGATAACTTAACCCTCCTGCTGGAGTAAAAACAGTTGATCCGCCGGTACCCTCAACTATAAACTCCCCGTAAAAGTGAATTGATGAGCGCATTAATTCCAACCTACCTGCCAGCTTTCTTTTAGGACTTACGAAAACGCAAGCAACTGATAGAAGCACCTGTGTTTTACACAATGCAGACAGTCAGACATCAGTAAAAGAACTGCGAAAGAATAGAATATTAGTTAAACATGCGTTAATCGCAGTGGTTGCCATTTGATCCCCTTCCATGAAGTGCAAATGAGCAGTTTAACGAAGGGATGAAAAATGGATTCAAGGCATCCATAACCGAAAGACCTAGCCGGCAACAACGTAGAATTTTCACTCAGGTGAATTTCTACGCACTAGCTAGAGGAAAACCATCGAAGAACAAACCTCTTGATCCCCCGAATCTGGTGTGTGTAAAGGCTGAATCTGCTGAAGTGCTATTTCTTCTGCCATTTTACTCGTAGCATCTACTTGATCCACATTTGATGTAGTTTCCAGCTTCTCAGAATCGTGTGACTTCGCGCTCGCAGTTTCTGCTTCCACTTCATCTGAGCTTCCGTCGTTGCCCTCTTCGTCATCTGAATCTGCTTCCTCACTGACACCTCTCAACCCTTTCAACAGAAGTGTCTTGACGCTACCAACAATGAAGTTGATAGCAGCATTGTCGCTATCCCTCTGCGGATCTTCGTCAAAGGCCTCCACAGGCTGAGTCTGACTAGGTGCGATGGCAGGATGCAAAAGTTCCTCACAAAAGTGATAATTCCGTTTCGTCTTGAAACGACGACGAGATGGATCCTCGGTCTTGTCCAATTTCCAACGTGTGGGCATATTATTTGGAAATGGAACTACTGCCCAGGGACCTCTCTCGTCTGTCATATCACGATACAAGTGACACCAATGATCCTGACACACGAAGTCTAGTAGTAAGAAACAGCAAGCGAAACATAATCCCTCATAAAATAATCGATAGATTACGAAGAATGTGCGATAAAAGAGCACTTACAGATATCGCTTGTTGCTCTTCATCATACAGAAGTTGAAAGGCATGTCGACGCGTCCGATCACCAAGGCAGATTAGAGTCAGATTGCCAAGAATCTGATCTTCAAGAGATTTCCCCGGCTGTATCTCCCATGAGTTGACCTCTGACAACTCCTTTTGCAAAGAATCGACCTCTTGCTGTCGTTGAGTACTCAAGGAATCTATGTATTTTCTCTCCTCTCTCACCTGTCCAATTCCATGGCCAACACAAAAGTCTAATCTGAGTGGAACCCTAAATTCAAATCAAGCTCATACGAAAGCGAAACAAATTCCGTCAATCTCAACGCAATATAGAAATCCTCAGCTAGTACTAACTCATAGTTGTGGACTTCATAGCCACACAAATGATAATTACATTCTTCACATATTAAGCATGAATTCGTCTTCTCTTTACTTTGGTCTTCGATACTTAGCAGAATGAAAAACATTTCACTACCCATATGTAAAACTTACAGCTGCTGTGATCCTCTCTCGCTGCAGCAAACTCTGCACTGCGGACTCGTTGGGATGGGGGGTTATATCTTGTATTACATCTTTGTTTCCCAAACTAGAGGCAAGCATATTCTTTCCGAGATCCATCGTTTCTCGAATCAGCTGAGAAACCACATAAAATCTAGCCCCATCATCAAGTGCACCAATCTCAGACCTTGCTTCAAGTAAACTCCTGTAGCAACGAGGGTTTACAAGGACGGTACATCTTGAGTAAGTCACATTTTGTAGGAGTTTTCAGCAGCTAGAACGTAACGAGCAAGTGTATTTCATTCCCAACCAACGTTCAACACTTTGGAGAAGGTAACACCTGAAGTCGAATATGAACATGATAACTACGAAGCAATGTGAATCACAAGAGCTGACCTCACTAATTGATTGCATAAAAAACTTACCAAAGAAAGAGCTGCAACTTGTTTCTGTTGCTTTCGCTCTCCACATTCAAATAACCAGGAAGAAGATTCAAAAGCTGTTGTACACAACGAGATGCTTCCCCGAGCTCAGCTTCGTAGAGATATAACAGAGTAAGAGGAAATACAACTCGAGGATACTTCTCTCCTTTCACTTTCGTGGATCTGTCCCCACCCTTGTTTGAAGTGATACCAACAACTCCTAAGCCACCTGAAACTACAGCTGCTGCCATTTCTGCTCCAGGAATGTTGATTGACTCAACCAGACCTCGAGCTCGTTGACCTAAGCTTGGGCCCAAAGAAGCTGGGAACAAGAAACTACTAGTTCCGGACCTTCTTCCGTTCAGTATTTGCAGAAGACTCCAAATATGGTTATAGAGGCGCCAGTAATGAGTCTTATCAGTAATTTCTGCTCCTCCGCTCACAGAACTAGACCTCATCGAGTTTTTGGGATGATTGTAAGAAACCCCTCGTCTGACAAAGAACATAGTGATCAATCATAAACGTATCCAGTACTGTAACCGAATATGTAATGCATATGAAATTCCATATGAAAACTGATTCATCACCAGGAAGACGGATGAGAGCCATGAGTTCTAGGCTGAGCAAAACTGATCTAGCTCATGAGCTGAAGTATAATAAGCATAAATGTTTTCGTTTTCTTAAGCAAGATGCACGAACTGATATGGAACTTCATGTGAAACTCCGCAGAGCCAATAGAACTCGGAAATCGTACTCTTTCATGTACAACATTGCGAGCAGATCTCACGAAATTAGGTGATCTGAACACCGTGAAGTTAAGAGCTTGAAGGTAAATCGAATGAAGTTGTGCGGACAGGAAGCAACGGGATAACCGTAAAGCATGAAATGCTGGACTGAGTTTATGACTGGATCTGCCTATGTATTTGACGAATCCTACATGTACATTGTCTGCGGAGTAGTTTCCATGTCTACGAAACCCGCGGAGTTCGTAGACATGGATTCCACTTTCAGAAATAGCGAGTGACCACAAGAAAAAACCATCTAGAACTAAAACCAAAATGGAACGAAACTACCCAGTAGTCTGTGAGTAGAGGTCTATTGTTACATATGTGCAATAAACCGAAGATTGTCAAGACGATTCACATCATCCAAGAGCAGGTAGCTGAAAGAGAAGGTAATTCATACTTCCGTTACGATTCATTTCAGTAAAGAACAAGGTATCGCTCGAACCAACTAGCACCAAGAACAGATGCAAACACGAATCTTCATCGCTAGTCGACCCGGACTGTTCAGGGTCTCCCTTTCAGCTCAACGACGGAGCTGGGATCATGCATACTTGGTGAAACAAGAATACTAATCACAATCCCAAGTGATCAGATATATTCTTTCCTATTATTCAGACTGGGACAAGCAGCTTCATTTTTTAGCATTTATATCCTCAGAAATCGAAAGGAAAAAGATAACGTCCACTTTGCAAAACATAAGATAGGAGAATACTCGAGATTCAGTGTACCTCAGGACGTGACTTGCCGTAGCTGTAGCTGCCTCCTCAGCTGACGGAGTACTTGATTTGGCAGAAGGAACGTTTGAACCCAACTCTACGTACCCACCGGATAGCAGAGTACTATCATCTGCCTCTTCCCACAGAGAATCACTTGAAAACTGGAATACATCAGGTGACGCAATTCGGTATAAGTATCTCATGGAAACAACTTGTAACAGCTCAGGTCGAACTCAATCATCTACTCCATATACTTGAGATGATCTACAACCTTACCGCCAAGAGATTAAACGCATCAGGCATCACCAACTCGTCAACAAATGTTAGAAGATGGAGAATATTGTCTCGACAGGGCTGCGCCCAAATTTGAGAATGAGGGCTCTGCAAGACTGTGTCGAATAAATCTCCCAAAATAACATGAAGCGCATAGAACTTGTTGAGTTTGTTCTGCACATTCAATACATGGTCATTCAAACAGGATCTTCTCTAATCTGAAGGAAGCCAAACACAGTCCGTTGCAGCACAAATATTGACCCAACAAACCAACAAAAGAATTCCTCTCTATGACGTGTAATTCAAGCGAAACAAGTGGGTTGATTAGATGATAAGCTTCGTAGTCGCAACCAACCTGTTTAGAGTACAAATGGACGAAGTCTACCGTTCGTTCAACATGCCATGATCCACCCTTGACATAAAGGACGAAGTGTGTATGTACAATGCAGAATATCTTTCGTATCAAGAGCTCTTCTTTGCCCATCATCCACAACTTGTCACAGGTTGAAGAAACGCCATTCCGATTTGCTGCTTCTACCAATACCGCAAAGAACCAGTCCTGCCACGTCGATTGCTGTCCAAGAGCAATAAAGACACGGTCATATAACATTAGAAACAGGATTGATTCCTCATGATTTAGGTCAGCGCATTAACCTGTGCCTTCGTCCGTCATTAGCCGCCAACAAGAAGAAAAAGTAAAAGTTCCTCTTCCAACTATCCAAAAGGTTGCTCATGTCGAACAGTCTGATTTAGGACAAACATATTTAAATCCAATTTTCAATTGCAAACTTCCCACATGTCGCATAAGTTCAATAAAACAGAACGAATGGCTAAACATACTTCCGTTTATAAGCCATATTGAGCCTCACATAGATGAATCATTTGTTTCAAAAAGTACTCTGAACTCTGCTTCAATTCACGTGAATCAGTGACAGCATTCAACGCGGAAGGACTGAAATCACGACAGAGAGGAATGATAAGGAAAAAAGTTCAGTCTAAGACAGAAGATCACATACCAGGACAAGGGCCTCGCTATTCAAAGAATTAGCCTCCATTAATCGTACAATGTCCTCAAGTATGTCCAACCTGAGTGATAAATCTTCACAAGCCAACACAAACTTCATTATAATTTCCAACACTTGAGGCAAGGCTAATGAACCAGCACTGCTTGCAGCCCTTTCACTGCTTCGCCAAGAAGAAAAGCCTTGCACCTGTCCAGCACCTTCCTGCAAAGCCTGACCGAGAACAGAACGATGTTAATAAAAAGCAGTAACACCAAAGAATCCACCAAAACAAAACAAGAAGAAAATGAAAAAGACGTGGAATCAACGGAATAGAAGGATGGCACAAGTGTTCTGCTAAGCAAGTTAGGTTTAAAACTTCCAGCTACCTGCTTAGGACTAGCTCCACCCAGTAACATGTCAAATAGTGTAGCCCGCATGGCATCCGTAAAGGGAAACATGAGCACCCTCTCCTTTATGGTTGCAAAGAGGTGAGCTAGCTTCAGCTTCTCCGTCCGTTGATGTTCTGAAGCAGCCTTGGATGCTCCACTGCCAAGAAACAGTGCAAATCCCTTTTTCTCGGCCGGTGCAGCCACCAGCGCTGCCCCTATAATTCTTAGGGCCAACAACCGGATCGACTCCTGTGATCTGGCATACACAAGATAATAACACTACTCAGAAACTGGATTGTGATTCCTCAAGTTGATTTTTTTTCGGATACTTCCGCCATCTCTGCTTGTTAATGAAACTGATAAGACTAATTGAATCATGATTAATCGTCGAATTTTTAAGCTGTTAGGTCTGAGCTGAAAAATACAGTTCCATAAAGGTAACGAGCACTAACTGCTGCGGGAATAATTCGAGGTAAAAAACTCAGAATCTTATAAAGACGCAGAAAAGTTCAGCGTTGATCACCAAAGGTGAAAATACTTGCCTCTTCAGAAGATTGACAAAAATGTGACAACCACCAAGAGTGAAGACATGGTCCACGAATTTTACCACGAACTGTTTGTGTGCCAACAGCCCGAGAATCATGTGAAGTACATCTTCCAAACAATCCACATCTTCACTGGTCTCAACAAATGCAACCAGAGCTTTGATGTCTGAGAGACGGACGTGCTCCCTACAATTGCATTATACGAGTAAGAAACAAAAACTTTCATGAGACTCAACATCCTAAATTGCTACACAATCAGGATACTGAACATAGATATGTGTGTGAAGTCACAAAGAATTAGCCAGAAAAGAGCTCACTTGCATGAAAAAGACCTGTAACATAACCATCACTGCAAGGTCAAAAGATGGAAACAGAGTAGGCAAGGATATACAGACCGCATCAAAATTTCGGCAACGCTGAGCACAAGAAGCCTTAACTTTGCGACTTCTTGTTGCGAAGGCCGCTCTCCAATTACTGTCTTTGTTACTGGATGCACTAGAGGCTTGGCTCCAAGCACTTTCCGTTTCTTGCACTTATCCCAATAAAACTGCTGAACAATGTCCAGTATTCTTGCTAGACCACATATACTCCTCAGATTTGTGGCATCCGTCTCCACATGTTTCAAAAGAGATGAGTAAAGAGTACGCTGGACAGAAAATGGTGTGAAGATCCATATATGGGGATTGAGGTACAACTTCGAAAGTGCTTCTTTGACCAGCGCTTGGGAAAGAAAAGTACCTGCATCAAAGCATCAAAGTTCAGAGCCTCAAGAGGGAGATAGTCACACACTACGTATGATATAAATTGTACGGTGCTAGCAGAGCTACGGTGTCAATGAGATGACGAAAGCCTGGTTTTAACTGGAGAAAAAAAAGGCGGTAGTCAGGGTACATACTGCTGGAGGTAACCACTGTGGTTAAAAGCCGCTCCATCGCCAGAACGAAATTTACAGTCAAATGCTGTGGTGATACTGATTGTAGCAAATAACCCAGAACCGAAAGACCAGCAATGTTATGCATAAATTGCTGGTTTGCATAGTTTCTTGACAAAACAGCTGTAACTAGTTCAATAACCTCAACAGCGATATCAGCTCCCACTGAAAACTCAGATTCTGCTCCTTTCATAATTGTCACCCCCTTCTCAGAGATCCGATCAACGGCCTGTCTTTCTATCCTCGACAGCTCGGACAGAGAAGCAGAATCTATTACCAACTGGTCAAGTTGTACGAGAAGAGGGTAGAAAACAGCTACTCCACCAACACTGTGCACACTGTCCTGGGCAAGACGTCTGTAGCACAAATGGGTCCCTCCCATGATCAAAGCATCGTACAGAGTGGAATCTGGAACCTGCTCTGGTGTAGGAGAAACATCAAAAAGAACCCGCCCTGCACTTGCCTGCATAAAGAGGCAGACGCAGATTATATGGATTTAATCCAGCAAGCACTTCGATTTCGGATTATGCAAAAGTAGAATCCATCCCATAGAAATGAGGTACATCCGACGTGAAGCAGGTTTCGAGCTAAGTAATATACAGCTCACTACATGTCATATTTCTTCCATACTCCTCTTAGATATTTTACCTGTGCATTGTAGCCAAAGACAATCTTAGAAGCTAATCCATCTCTTGAGTCAATGACATTCTGGCTTATCATGTTTTCTGGCACACGACCAACATCGTTTGCCAGAAACGAGTACATATAACTCGGACCCAGTGAATGGATACCCAGAACTTGGTCAGCAGATAGGGCGTCATCAAACAGGTAGATTGGTCCAAGCTGGCCACAGAAAGGTGCAGAAAATTTTTCGGCTTCGTCGCCACTGCTTCCATCCGAGGCTGGTAACCGTGAGCTTGCTCCAATTGTGCAACGAATCAAAGGCTCCAACAACCTGGGGTACCTGCACAAATGTTCAAACCAAATCATACAGAAAGATGTTAGAAAATCCTTGCCAACCATGGCGTGAACTCTGGACTATTCATAGCCTCTGGTACTTCACAGAGATAGGGCCAAGCACGTCCTCAAGTTAATGTTCTTATGAGAAAAACTTCAGACATTCTCAAGGGCTAGTAACAGATTCGAGAGAAAGGAGCAAGCCACCTACGGGTCCTTATGGTGCTTTCCACGAACTTGGTTCTAGAACAAGAGTGTGTTTCTTATATGTTTATTGTTCTAATGCTCCTGATCATCACTTCAAGCTTTGAAAATAGTTCAGTTCGTAAGCTTTAAAGCTTAGGATTGGCTTCGAGAATTTGTATCTGGAAGCCAATCCTAGTATGACTCTAAATTGTGCTTCCGAAGCTTGTCCCTGAGGCACGACTCAAAGGAGCATATGCGTCGAGCCATGAAAATTAGACAATATCCATATGTCTTTTCACGTAGATGTGATATAATAGGTAAAAGACAAATTTGCAAGTAGGAGAGCACACAAACCTGAACTTTTCACCAATGACGAGCATCCCATCAAGATAAATTTTGATAGTATTACCACCGGTAAGAGAACGGCCTGTACTATGAGTGATGCATAGAAAGTGCCACCTTCTCAGCTGCAGCTTTAGGTCCAATGTTGTAGTTTGTCTCTTGTTGCTGTTGCACTATAAGCACAAGTTTCCAAATAGTCCAGGAAAATATTGTGAACAGAATTAGAAGGGCCAAGAATAATTGCATTCAGGTATTCACTTCTGATACTGAAGTCAGTACCATATTGTTCTGATATTCAAGCGGAAACCACTACACTATTTGTAAAACCCAATGCTTGGTTTACATTTTAGTCTAGTTGCAGATAGAGGTTTAAAAACATCGATACGATAGTTTCATTAGCTGTAGGCAACTGCAAAATGAGAGTTGTGACGATCTACGAGAAAATCGATATTTGTAACTTTAACGCATCTCGAAAAGAGCAAACCCTGACTACATATTAATTCCTCTATTTATAGACTGCGCGCTATTTCTACTGGACTTTCTATTTCCAGCTTGTTGAAGAATCTGATTTCATCACATGTATGTTAGTTAGTAAGTTAGTTAGTTAGAGCTAGCTAAACTAGGTGGCATGCCACTAACAAAACTAGGTTTCAAATCAGGGTTAGGGTCTTCTTCTTTTGACCTTACCTGCAACTGTGCATTCTCTAGCTGTATACTATGCACTCCCAGAGGTCAGATATCTTCTCTGAACATTCTATCTGGCTTTTGTTGTCTTATTGCACTGCAGCTCTGCAATGCATCGAATGAACATCACTCACGTTTTTCTCCCTACTCTGAGTGATTCAGCATGCAAACCGTAACGTATGCCTAAGTGTTAGTTCTGACATCTGACACAACTGCGTTCCGATCTTGCGATCAAAAGCAAGACTTGACATTCGCTTAATATAGCACGGATAGAGAAGCAATACGCACCTCAAAAATGAGATAATTTTCATGTAGAAGAGCCGTGCATCCCTTTCCATTCTCTGAAAGAAAGCTGAATAAGCCAACCAGACTATCATCCACATGTTCATCTTTATGTGGAGGATAACTCTGAACTCGTATCCAGCAAGAAAAACTGAATCCTCTGTTGGATGGCCACCGCAGAGGTGTTGTGACAACAATACCCTGCAGATTTGTCAACGTACAGCTATTTAGGACATTCCGAAGAAACAAGATGCTATATGCACCTGCAAATACATAAGATCATGTGGGTATATATACTTAACGAGACCAAGTACAAGTACTCATTACGGGCCTTACGAAGTGCAAGCATTGAAAGCTGTGGCAGTAAACTGAAGCCCTATTCTCAGCTGCAGATCCCACGTTCATTGAAAAAAATGAAAATTCAATGACGTGAAGAAGCCAGAGCAAGAGATTTCTATACAGTCCAAGTCGACGAGTACCGACAACCATAATCGTCTAGGACAAACAACGTATACAGATCAGCAGTTACGTCAATTAACGGATAAGAAGAATAAAATTAGAAAGTAGCCAGATGGTAGAGAGTAAGGAAAGTGCTAGTACAGAACATATAGATGCTGAATAGGAATACAGACAGTAGTCAACGAAGGAGGTGAGCGTGCATCAATCAGATAATGTAACATACAAGAATGCAATATAACCAATACACTAATTCATGGAACCATTTGTTTAGATCCATAAAGAAAATCATGAGCAAAGAACTGAGCTTCACACATCATGCACATGATGTGTGAGGCTCATTTCTAAACAGGCGAAAATTCACATTTCCAATGGACGGCAGAACTGAGAGGATGAAACCATTCTTATAATTATCCATGAACTGAAGAACCTTATGGAAATCATGGAAACGTTACATCCTCGGCATTAACCTCCCTCATTAACAATATCGATTACATGCAGACCTGACTTAACACGAGTAAGGCAATGATCAGATTGCTTGTAAGCTGCAGTACATTGTGTATCAAAAGTGACAAGCGAACTTGTGAGCTGAAAATTTAGACCAGATAACGTGAGTCGTCGACACCATACTCTATTATGATAAAGCGTATCATGTGAGTCGATCTTGGAATTTGAGATTGATCCAACAACATGCAAAGCTCTGTTAGAGCACGGAAATATCATAACATTGAGCTAATAGAATATTGGTAAAATCGCCGCAAACTGCCGTGAAGTCGAAGTGAGAGTATTACCGAATCTTTGCCACTCATCTCAAAAAAGACTGCAGGACCTTCTTCCTTCAGCATTCCTTGTAAGACTTTCAGCAATATGGTACCATGTTGGGGTTTTGGATGATCATTTGTACTACGTAGCAACGAGAAAATCCTTCTCATGTCCTTCCCACTGATACTATGACCGCCAATCATTTGCACGATCTGTGCCAACTTGATAATCAGGAGATCACTTTGGGCAACAGCGAACCAATCCAGCAAGAAGCTGAGCAAACCAGATCTCACACAGGAAGCTTGATTTGCGGTTGAATCTTCCAGCAAACGGTAGAAAGTGTCCAGCCCTTTACACTGTTCTTGCTCATCACACTGAACAAGGACAAAATGTTTTAGTCGTAAGTCAGTATTAGAAATCAAAGAAAATTTGACGCTTCGAGTTTTACATTCTAATCTACTGGAAAGCTTGAAGCAGAGCAAACACAATACCTTCCGTAGCAAATTGAAGAAGAGAAGAATGACATCCTCGTTCTGCACAGTTTGGAAACATGTAAACTGGTTGATACATTCAAGATTCACAACCGCGCACTCACACATTCACTGTTCTCACCGCTTCTCACTCATATAGACGTAAATATTGCGCATGAAAGCAGGATTTTACCTCATACCACTGCTAAAACAAATACCATAGGTTCGACGCAAAACAATGGATAAATGAGTATCAATATCTCACTGGTTCAAAACCGATTTGCGGGGACAATTTGAAATATAGAGTAGGACCATCATATCTCAAGAAAATGTACATGACTAGCTGTTCCTCTTTTAGACTACGAACAATGGGACGAGATAGGAAGTAAAAGTCGTAAATGACTGAAACCAAGGTAAAGAATTGAAGTGGATAAAAACTTCAATACTTTACCAACAGATAAATCCCAACAACCCACCAGTATAGTTACTCCAGACGTACAAATCCTATAATAAACTCATTAACAGGTACTTCCAGTGCAAACAAACTGGCACAGACTAACCTGTATAAGCATATTTGAAGTTGCCGAGAAGTCCCCGTCGACAAGCATATCGAGCAGTGCGACCAGAAGACCTTGACTGGGACTACCTTGATGTCTCTCAACCAGCAAACTTAGTAGAGTTTTATATCCAACACCCACAAGTCCCCGAAATGCTACCTGATGTCAAAAAGCAAGTTATCAGCGCCCAGTGCTCATGACATAAGCATCGAAAATTAGATAAGTGTGAAGAGACGATGAAGTAAGACGCAAGAGACTTCTAATATACTCAATGCACACCCGTCAACATTACGAAGAGATTTACGTTACCTTCGAAGCTTCATTTCCTTCTAGCAGCTGAGTCAAGGTAAGTACTACATCCAAACTTAGTTGAAGGCCGGTCTCCTTTGAATGTTCATCATTCAACAAAGATACTATGTGAACGAAACATTCACCCTCTCGGAATAGCGCTTGGTAATACTGCAGTGACACAAATATATTGACCAGTGAATATATTACTAAATGATACATGTTCCAAACAAAAAAAAATGGATGTAGCCATATGCCATAGAGTAACAGAGCGCTCAATCAATTCTCCGTTGTTCAAAACATCTTAATGTACATTCTACTTACGGACTCATAGGCACGAAGTTCGCGGGGAGTGTGTTCGGGAATCGCGCGCGATAAAGCCAATTTCGCCCTTCGGCGGTTATTTCGTAAAGGCAAAGCCAATATGATTGCCAAAAAATGGAGTTAACAAACAGGCCTCTGAAACAAGGTAATACTTAACTGTAAGATCTGTTTGCAGAACTTCACGTAAACCAGAGAGGAGGCTAATCAACAACGAGATTTCGGACCCTCGACACTGCACTTGTGCAAGCGGGAGTGTCTCCAAATAGTGCAGACACAGAGCCATCTTTGCATTTTGGTCCTCGTCAGTCTTCGGGGGTAACTGCCAAGAGCAAACATCATAGATCCATCATTTAGGTCCACAAGAAATCTTAGACAAAGTTAAAGAAACACTTAAACTCAAGGGATCAGATAGGAAGCCACCGGTTCAAAATAAAAATAGACGGACCTTCATGAGCATCAAAATATGATCAAGAGCAAACTTCCTGCTCCTTGGTTCGAACAGCAAGTTAAATAAAGCATTCACCACCCTTGACTTCTGTGTGACCTCTATTACTGCTTCCTCGCACAAAGTCAAAAAATCCGTGAACAGGGTGAACAGATTTTCCCTCGCTTGCTGCCAAATCTCCATGTCAGCAAGAACATGCCATCTACCACCTTGGGTTTCCCCGACCTCATTTCTGTCTGAAGATAGAGTAGATGATTCTTCTTCGTGTGCTACTTGAATGAGGTCCAATTCTTTAATGGAACCTTCTTTGCATAATTCCTCGAATCTCTGCTTTTGCCATTCCATAATTGAAGCGAATATAGTGACTGCATCCAATATTTTGAAAGAGCTGATGGTGGTGTCGACATTTAGCTGGAGAATACGATGCAGACTTTTCACAAGCATAGTTGTAATGCTTGGCATAAGACTACATCTCTGCAAGGCACTGAGAAGCGCACCACACTCTGGCTGTTCAAGGGAAATCATGTCAGCTTCATGAGTCAAACGAAAAGAGTTGATGGCCTATCAGACAAAACAATCCATTGAAAATATATCGATGTCGTTAGGAAAGTCCATTCCGTGATGTCTGATACCAGCTACGTGAAGTATATTCATGTAGCAAGATTGAATGTACAAGTACTAATTTAAGCGGCGGGGCTACGACCGTATTTTAAAAGTGTGCCAAAAAAGTAAGGATCCAGTTGTGCATGCAGCTTAGTAACCAAAGAGTGATTCGATCGAAAATGGGCATGCAGCCTAGTGTAATGCAGCTACATATGCATCAAGGTACAGGTCAGCTTAGATATGCAAATTCGTTCATCTGCACATACTTGAACTCAGAGGGATGGGTTGTTGCTCTGCTCACCATGTTATCATTGCTTCCTTCGGCTGTCGCAGCAAGCTCAACAAATGAGATTACTTCCAAGCGCAATGGTTCAGTATCTACTGAATCAAACACTTTATCTGTCTGAATGACAGGCTCTTCAACTCCTTCCATCACAACTTTGCGATCGGCAACTTTTTTACCTCCAACTGCTACCTGATCCTCCAGAGCTAACCCGAAATAAAAGAAGTGTTTTGAAAACATAACATCCCAGATACCGTCCTCGTGAAAAATGTGCAAGACATGAGGAGAAGTCTCGAGCATTTTTTTCAGCACAAATAACACATAATGCTGAAGAGTGGTCGATACTGGCCTGCAAAGGAAACAAAAGGAATAAATCTGTAAAGCTTCACAATATGGCGATCACCACAACTTTGCATCATCTTTCCATTCTACAGACCATGACATATTGTAGTTAATAGTGATAAATATCTTTGTAAGTACGTAGTCCTCAAATTACTGTGCCTTTCTATTAAGGCAAACAAAGAAACACAATACGACACTTACCCACAAAAATAAAAAGGTGATCACGAAGCGACAAAGAATATCATCCAAGACATGGCTACATCAAACCCAGCGGGTACTAATGACTCCGCATTATTAAAGAAGTTTGTGGCTACAAAGTAATGAGTGTCTTTGCAACAGAGGAATACGCTTGGACTTTTCGAATCGTCTTCAATCTGAAAACTGTTTTACGTCCTGCCCGCCGCGTATCTTGGTAATTTGTTGTTCAAGCAAACTCCCAATTGTCCACATGTGACCACTGCTAATGAGAAAGTGAGAAGACTCAAGAAATTGAGAGGGGTGTGACCTTAAACAAATTCTGTTCAAAACTTCTTTCGATTTGAAACCTTGAAGGAAAAGCTCACCTCAGCATTTGCGAAGCTTCAGATTCTTCAATTGAGGTTTCCTTCCTGTCTCTGAAAACCCCCAACAATACATTGACAATCCAACGAGAAGCAAGTTCCCAATAAGCTCCCGAAAGTCCGGGAACGTCTTGACTCCTGGCCATGCCACTGGCGAAGCTCCTGACATCACCGGATGGTACAAGAAAAGAGCACAGAATTCTGCACAGATCTGCAACTCTCCAATTCCATCCTGGAAGATCATCGTCCCCTGACGAGGGGTCTACAGTAATATTTCCAGCTTCTAAGACGTCTAAAGAGGCCTCTACTCGAGTCGGATTGTCACTACCAGAAGAGTCTTCCTTCCTTCCGTGTAGTAATGTCAAGTCACTTGCCCTCCTCTCCACCAAGGAATCCTGTTGAGTCATATAACTACTTGGTGAAAAGACAGGACTCTCAACCAAGCTAGCAACGGAAAAGCCCCTCAATTTTGAGGTCATCTCCGGTATGGTAAAAGCTGCAAAGCGTATCATCTTACTGAATTTCTCAACAGCCCCATATTCACGCAGTGCTTGCAGACTGACGACGTTACGAAATCTGTATCTGGTATAGGAATTACTCTCAGCAAAAAACTATCTGGTTCCTGCAGCACAATTCTTCTTTAGACTGCTTAGAGCACACGCTACCTCTTAAGATAAAAACTTGTCACTAAGCGGTACAACATCTCATCTTAAATAAAATTGTAAGAGGATACATTGCCTCCCTTAGGACTTGAAGCGAGAGAACCTGCATCTGAAAATCCACTAAGAAGGTATTCAGGTCGTCCGTAAAGTTCAAGGTGTCTTGCTCGGAATTGATTCCCGGTGAACTAGGTGTGTTCAGAGCTAGAATACCGAGTCCAGTCATTAAAACTTCAAGACCACCAATGCTTCTAAAATGGTTCTGCGACTTCGGATTCGAAAAGATTGCTTCGCGAAGCGTCTTCAAAGTCAATTGTTCCAACGATATGTCTGCTGTTGCACCTCTCAAGCGTAGCTTTTTCAAGATACGCAGAAGTTCTGCAAGCACAATTTAACAGATTTATTCCAAATCGGCGAAAGGCAACAGATCAACGAGAGTAAAAGGAGAAATAACGTCACTCAGGAGCTGATTACAAGTTGAAATTAGTTTTTCGGGAATATGGTGAAATCTTGCAACCTGATTACTCAGGTAATGCCCCAGCAGGCAGATTGCGACATACCTACGAACCAATTTAATCCGCCAGTCTCGAGCAACGGTAGCGATCCAACGACACCGCCTTGATTATCTACAGTATTCACAGAACTTCTTTCTACAGGTGACTCGCCACTCCCGGAGTGCCGTCTTCTCACTGGTATATCACCACTGCTTGTCTGCCTTTCTAAACCTCTACCTCCTGTTTGATACCCTGGAGCTTCTCCTTGTTCTGAACCTACACTGGGGGAATCTTTTGTATCCACCAACGAGGTCTCCACTCTGCCGGGTTCTGTTTCGATGTAGTTGCCCACAGTCGTGAGTACTTGGGCAATCATGCATTCCAAAAACCTCATTCTAGATAGAGCTGATGGCGGAGGATCCTTGTCTGCTGTGATGATACTAGCAACTCCTTTCAGTTTGACAACAGCAGCTGTGAAAGAAGACCAAACGCTACATTAATCCGAGAATTTCAACCAAAGAGCTGCATAGACTGTACTCTATGAGAGTATGAGTACTTGCCTGTCATAACCTGGAGAAAGAAATGGATAGTAAGCACATGAAAATGGAAGGTTTTCTTCACATTATTTGTCGTTCAGAAATACTCCTTCGCCGTTCAATAAAACTAGTTTTTTTATACTTATCAACTACTAAACAACTATCTATATGGAACACAAAAGTTATCACTTTGTCTTGTTAAAACGTACCTTTCATCAAACCCATGAGGGCCTGCATCCCACTGAAGAAAGAAAAGATTCTCCGGTTGTGGGACGAGCGAGTAATTATCGTCAGAACTTTCAGCAGACGAACTGTAGCCTCCATGTCATCCGGACTCAACCACGCTTCATTCGTCATATCTGCCATCAACATTACTGTACAAGACGTTGGAAGTGACAGCAATCAGCCCACACAAACTTTGATATTTTTTTACCAGCACCTGTAATATCCAGAGTGAAAGGGGGAAATAATAATGCCACACGATCTTCAAAAGCAAAATGGTTTAGATGTCCTCTAAAGTACACAACCAGTCAAACACTGGACGAAAGGAAGGCAAACATTTTGGCACCCATTACACCAAGATATGAATGGAAGGAATTCAGCTTCCGTAATATTAGAAATTTCTAAATTTGCTAGGATGAATCAGTCTCTCGACGAAAACTCGGTCTCAATAGTGCTCTCAAAACCTGAACACAGATATCTACGTTCGTACCAAAATATAAGATACTAGGATTCAATTGTAGCAAAGTTCAGACAGCTATAACACTATATTCATCGGAGCTCTTACACTGTCTGCTGCAACGAAATTATAGTTTTCAACGGTGAGCTATCATGAAAGGAGATGGCCGCTACTTACAATCTGATATTAACATTATGAGATGTTTTAGCTCTTGGATCAATCCCACAATAACTTTTGTTGGGTGCCCGAAAGCGCATCCAACGATTTCCCGAGTTCCAGAGGACACAGAGTGCGCAGGTGAACTTGCCGGGGAACCACCTTCTTCCTCAATGGCAAAAGGAGCTGTGGCCTTACTAAAACCCGGAGATTTCACACCAGGTGATACAAGACCGGGTGATGTAACATCAAAGGGAGTCCAGTTTTCATAAGTCTGAATAAATTGCTTAAGAAAATCTCCAAGTGCTACGTTTGTCTCCGCCTGCAAGAAATTTGTGGAGTCGTCAAGTTTCATGACAACAAAAAATTAAGTGTAAATCCTGTACCAGCTCTCTTGCATCTAGTCGCAATTGCACGTTAAGAAAATGGACACAATAAGGAGTTGGTGAGAAGGCACTCCAGTAGCGGACGTGACGCATGAAAGTTCAGTGCTGCTTGAACAGAATTGGTCGATGTCCATGGAGCAGACTGTACTAAATACCAGCCAGGAATTGTATTTTACTTGTCTCTAACTATAATATAATGTACTTCAAAATTTCCTCACCATTCTAGAACTATCTTCTAGACACAGAGATCAAAAAAATACCTGTCCTGATGCATCTTGGTATGCTTGCCACAGATTATCCAAAACTCCCTCGTCGTCATCATCGCTGTGGAAGTGAAGCAATCAATCCTGAGGTTAATCAACTCCTAAGGTTGATACTGTAAACGTTTAAATCAATCTCTACCGGAATGGCATACAACTTTTTCAATAACATCTCCAAGAACTAACAACGCTAGGCAAGTAAAGAATTAAACACCTGAATCGGACCTCGGGCCAAGACAGAAACTGGTAACTAGGATTCTGTCCGTGACCTTCGGAACCTGGTCCTGAATCACCAGGAAGACCACCGGAGCCCTTGCCGAAGATGCTTGCTACCCCTCTTACGAAGTACATCCTCACCTCTCATGAACACAAAGTGTTTCCTCGTGCACAGACTGCACATGAAACAGAGTGTAAGGTACTCCCTCTTAGCAATGAACAGTTTACGGCCATTACAAGTAGAATTACTGAACGCAGTGAGAAGTAAAAAAGGATTATGAAACTCTTTGGGGAGAAAGAAGGACAAAATCTCCACTGTATTAAGATAGGAAGAAGAACCTAAAAGATGGTCTGTTTCGAAAGACCTTGGTCCTGTACAAAATGTTACCGTGCTTACTGTTATTTATCTGCAAATTGAGACAAAATCCAGAAAGTCACTCTCATGACACTTAGGTTTCACGTTCCATAGATAAGGGCACTTCGTTCAAAGTTTCCCATTCAGAGATTCAGCGTGATCATCGACCAAGAAGAAAATACAAAAAAATGACATTGAATAAATATTGAGAACGCCAAAGATGAAAGAATGGAATCAAAATTGTACAGTGAGATAATCTCTAGTTGAAGACACCAAAAAGAGCTATGTGAGAAATCACCAGACAAAATTCTGATCCATAACAATCCCTGCTGATTGAAAGGCAAATATTGCTTATCAAAAGATCTATAAGCGATTGGCGATCTTGAGACATTCCCTGTGTAGATGTCCACGAAGTTCAATTTGTAGTACTTTTAAGAGCATTACAAATATTCAACGCTGATATACGCAAAGGTCTTTGGGCAATTGTAAGACCTCTAAGGATGCTTACTCATGATATTTCAGTGAAAATTTGCGCCTTGGCGAGTAAGCAACAAGCAGCTAGGACCTAGCAGTCTTGGGACTACGTTAAAGTCGATAGGGCAACGCACTTATCCATTCTGTGATCGATTTATTAAAAGTTCGTGATCAATTTTCTTCCCACGGTCGGGATCCGACGTAGTGTGGGCGCAAGTGAAATGCGAATCGAAGGGAATCGCGAATGGCTTAGTACATGTAAGTCCAAGTGACAAGGATTCGTCGCAGTCACTCCGGGAAATGTATTGGAACGAGATGTGGAGCTCAAACGCGGTCCACAACTGCTCTTCAAGTGTATGAATTTTCGTCACTTCCGAACCCAGAAGCTAAGATTCAACAACACTGGGAATTCCAAAGGGCTGACACCCGTCCGGCTCAAGATCTTCCCGGTCACAGAGTCACTTCCTTTGATTCCTCGGGATGCATGGAATGTATTTCATTAATGAGGCCCTACAGAGTCCAAATTGTGCCCCATACCTTCTGCCTCTAAGGAGCTGCAACAATTCCCGGAAGGTTTACAGCAGTAGAGAATGCGCTCTCACAAGGTAAACAAGCACGGACTTACATCATCTCGCCATTTCGTTCAACAATTGATCACTTTGCCCTTCTCCCACTAGGCCCAATTCACCTCCGCTTACACGCCTGCCTGCCTGCCTGCCTGCCCGCTTGCTGCCCTTACTAATCCCTTTCTCTCGTTCCTCCCTGTCTTCCTCGCCCCTTACTCGTATGCACTCCCGATTCCGTGGTCAATTACTCACAAAAGACAATATCTGTCCACGTAAGACGCCCAGTTCTCGAACCCCGATCGATCGAAATATGTCTGAACCACAGCAGCAGAGATTCATCGGAGTCCAATCTTCCCTTGCCTTCTCCTCCCCTCCCCTTCCCTTCCCTTCCCTCCCCGGCAGGCTCTCTCGGACTCTGCTCTTTTCTCGTATTCTTTCTTTCTTTCTTGGAAGAGGTGATCAGAGCACCACAAGGTAAACGTACGATTGTTCGGAAGGCCGAGGAAGGCAGCGCGACGGACCGGGGAGTCCGAGACATAGCGGACGGGAAGACACGAAAGTCAAGGAAAGGAATCCAAAACGTCAGCAGCAAGCGAACCCTAAGGTCCGGTTCATGTCCGGACTCCGCCTCGGTCCGGCCTGCTCTGGCTCGGGGATAGTCCAAAGCGCGACGACAAGGACCTGCTGCGACGTTGGTGTACCATACCACCCAGCCATGGTGGACTCCACCACGATGCGTCAAACTTCCGAAGAGTCTAATCAAAGCCTAGCAGCCAACGGTATATATCTATTTCAAATCCTAGTTAATCTAGAAATACTCAAAAGGAAAACCATATACATGCTCAATTGAAAATTGTTAAAAAACCTCTATTTTTCATAAGAAATATAAGTTGTAATCTACGTTACTATACTATGGTTGACTATCTGTTGAGGAGAATTTTGTTTTATATTTTAATTATTTTCATTAATTTATATATATATATATATATATATATCTCTCTAAAAATCTTATTTTCATGTTTTAAATAATGAATAAATCTAACGTTATACTGTAAAATGAAGAAAGAAATATACTCTAATAACACAATTGCTATTCGTGTTTTTCATTTCATTAGATAAAAATATTTTAAATTCAAAAAATCTATCTACTTTTAAATTGTTTTATGAATTTTGATTACATAGAGAGTGCTGTATATTTATTTCATAATTATTTTAAGAAGTTCATGATAACAATGACCTTGAATAAAAAAATTTATTATTAATAAATGGTAATCTGTAGTTTCAAATTCATACAAAATAATTTGGATAAAAGTATAAAATAAATTATGAACTAGTGAACTAATCTAATCATCATCTAAGTGTCAAGTTTGAATTATATAATTATATATATAATTTTATTATTAAATTGCTACTTCAAATAGAATATTAGCCATGATTATCAATTGCAATAAAAATCTTCAGCATTCTTCAATGCTATAAGGGTTAAAACTGAAAAATATCTACAATGAGTAAATTAAATAAACACAACAACCAACAGCAGAGACATAGCATATAGAGTGGTTCACCTTTGTGCATGTGTATTCTTTCAATGTGTGCATACATATTGAAATAATTTCGAAATAAACATAAAAAATAAAATCTCTGTGATGTATAATATTTTATTTAACACGTAACTAGTTTATTGAAATTTTCCATGATAATTATTCATTTTATGAAAACCACTATTTACAAAAACGATTTTTCATTTTTAACAGTTTTTCAATTTCCTTCTTGAGATGATTTCAATTATTAATTATTATATCATCAAAATTTTATGATTTAGTTTTTCAGACTCCATGATACAAAGTATAAGATCAATTGTCTACTAAAATGTTGAACTTCTTAAAAAAATTCACCTCAAGTAGAGATTTTGTTCATTTGAAAACTTATTTTTACTTTCACAAAAATTGAAGAAAAAATTTTATTTTATTATTTGGGAAAGAAAAGGTTCTTTTAATTGCAAAAAGTGCGCTTCATTCCTTATATTATTAAGCTTTTTCTATAGATTTTGAAAGATATATTACATTGGTTATCATCTTCAACATTCATGAGGTTGAAAGTTTAAATTTTAATTCTATATGATAGCCACCAATTTCTCATAAATTGAAGAATGTTTTATGAATATATTTTTTTAGTCAAAAATATATTCAAAATGATAAGTAATTTTCATAATAACCAAAATAAAAATCATAATTTGTATGGTCTATGAAACATTTCGTGTTAATGAAATAAAAGAAAATCATTTAAATATATCGATAATAGCCATGTGCTCAAAATATTAATCAAATGTGTATTTTCTATTCAAAACTGATAAATTTTGAAATTGAAGACATATTATTTCACAAATTTCAAATAAATGATTTATTTCAAATGAGTGAAAATCACATGAAAACAATTTTTAATGTCATTTAAACAAATTATTTACAATCTATGAATTGATTATTGTAAAGGAAAACAAAAATAAATTAAAATATTATGTTTAACAAACTTTCAAAACTTCAAAAAAGAAAAAATATTTTTATTTTATTTTATTTTTAATTCATTCGTAATTTTTTAAAAATATTTTTTCGTAAATTTTATTTTTTGGTTATTTTAAAATATATAAATATAAATCAAAAACAATTTGTTATTTACTTAATTCTGTATATAAATACATATCTCAATTTTAACTTTTTTTTAACAAAACTTAATTTTCTTTTTTTAATTTTTAAATATTTCAATTTTATATATAAAGTTATTGATACAATTTATAACTACAAAGTAGTTTATTTTACATAGATTATGATGACCTTATGCAATTTTGTGTAATTAGTATGAATGTAATGTTGAGAAACTTAAACACTTGAGAATAAGAAAAGAAGTTAATAAAAAATGTAGAATAAATTTTATAGATCTGAGTAAACTATGTAAGTTAAACTAATTCTTATGACGATTTTGAACATATACAAAGAGATTTGATAGCATATCTAACATTCATTATATGTTCAAATCTAGTCTCCATTAACATATGTAATTTTTATCTCACAGGCACACAAATTGATGATGTGATACTTTAAATTAACACATCTATTTTTTAATTACTAAAATTTTAACCTCAATGTGACAACTATAGATTATACAGTGAAAGATATATATTTTCATATTATATCATCTTTAATGTAATTATAACTGATAAAATATGATTACAAATATAGATATGACACTTTCTCAAGAATGTCGCTATCAAATAATTTTGTAATCAATTTTTGTTATTATTATCTGATAACAATTTTTTATAAAAGTGATTATAGATATGAATCTCATAATCAATCATAATTTTTTATGTCAAATTATATATGATATATTAGTGTTGATATTAATTTCTTCAACACTAAAATTTGAATGAAATTATTTGTCACAAAATTATCATAAATAAAATATTAACATATAATAATTATACCTGTCTCATTATTCTAATTAGTCAACACAAACAAAATACGGATTAATTTTAGAGTATCAATGTGATAAAAAAAATCAAAATATTGAACATTATGACATAAAAATTTTGGTTTATTACTAAGTTTTAATCTGATTGGTATAAGTGCTGTTGTGAATGAATCAGTTCACAACCTTTTAACTATGTCAACGTCTATACTTCTCAAACCAAAATTTGATGTCTATATCACTATTAATTTTGAAACTTTTGTAAATACAGTAGTGTGATAGTATTTTTATGCCGAGAATCATAAATTTCTCAGATTTTTTTTGTCAATTATGATTATGATCCACATTATAACTCGATACTTTATATTTTTCTGTAATATTAAATAAGTGAAACGGACAAATTATCACAAACAATCAATGTTTATTTCATCATTCATGCTCTACAAAAACATATTAAAAAAATTAGATTGATGAAATATTATGCAAAATGTATGTTTTTAATAATGAATATTTTTTAACTTCAAATGTGGTATTATATTCAATTGATTGATATGAAATTTAATTTTAAATTATATGGTGAATTTGGATTAAATTTTGGATTTTAAAATTAAGTATAAACATTTAACACATTAAAGTTTGGAATTTAATACTAATTATAATTAGATATATTTTGTTGATAAAAAATTCTCTATATAAAAGGCTTTAAAATTTATATGTAATTATAGTAAATTTTATAAGGATACAGGAGGTTAATAGTTATATGAAAATTTGAAAGCATACAATGTGCATTAATTAAATATGTAGTATTTTTTTAAATGATTATTTTTTATGATGTTGAAATAGAAAAATAGAAAAATTATCTTTAAATGTGCTTGAAGTAGATTTTAAAAAGTTTTTAAATCTGAATACAATATTTTAAAGACAAATTTGTTGAATACATAGATCAAACTTAACATTGCTTATAATAAGAATCAGATAATAAAAGCTAAAGAGTGAATGAAATGGTTTGCATAACACAGTATGATACACTGAATGAATTTAAATCAATGTAAATGCAACATTATTTCATTTCAGCAAGCTTTTATTCCGTAATTTTTACATAATTTTGTACTTTAATTAATCATTTATAATTAATTGATGTTAAATTTTTATTTATTTATTAAAGTTTTTTAAAAATAAAATTTAATTTTATATCCAATTAGTATACAGATTTTATTAAAATTAAAATTAAATGATTGTAAACTGAAAATGAAAAAATATATGAGATTTTACTTGGAAAATTTATTTGAAATGAATTGAAAAAGATATGAGAACGTTGATACATCTGACTAGAAAAAATAGAGTTGTGCATATGTTATGAAATGTTCAAAATTTTATTGATAATATTTTTAATATTTAATTGATGTGAATCTTGCTATAAATGTAAACTTGGATTTTTAGAATCTGCAATACTTATAAAAATTGACCTTTAAAAATTTTGTAATCCCTTTGACTCAGATACTCAAGGCTAAATTCATGTTGAGTTTTAATTTGTTTGAAAGAAAATATATTAACAATGATACAAAACATGTGTATCACCAAACGATATTTTTGATGAAATTATTTGGCATTGGTTTTAGTGTAAATAAAATTCTAGATTGACATATAGTGAACACTTTCAAACTCTTGTGGTTTCAATCGGGTAAATTAAGTTTGAAAGTTAAGGTTTTTTGCATTAGAAGCAAAAACTCTTGTTTTAACCTGTAATTTCAATGAAATCATCTTCAAATAAGCAAGATATATTCAAATTGGATCTATTTGCCGCTTTGATAAGAATTACTGAATTAGAGTACCATTCAAGCATTGCCTAGTTTAATCACTCACAAATCTAGAAAAATTTACATCATTTGGGTTTCTACTTCAGAATGAAACTAGATATAATTTCAAACAAAACGTGAAAACAATCTTTAATAAAAGATAAGTAAATGGTTGTTAAATTTAAAAAAATAATAAGTTTAATTTTTTTATTGCAAAATAGATGTCATGATGACATTGCTTGTAAAAGAAATTTGAATGTTATTTATTTTTTTAAAAGAGATAAAATGTAAAAAAATCATTTAATTTCAATTTCAGGTTCAGTTATGAAACAGAAATTTAGTTTAAAGTTAAAAAATAATTTGAATTGACACAAGTTGTAGATATAAACTAATAAGACTACAAGAATTGAACGAGTGAAAATGTGAATTTGACCATCACAATAGCAATTATATTAAGATTAATCATGATTTTTGTATGATGAAAAATCAATGCTACAAGCTCGTAAAGAAAAAGAATACAACTAGAAGTTAACATTATTCAGAATGGTTTAAAGAAATATTTGTTGTAATAAACAAATATTGCAATGAAATGAATATTTTTAGATCTTAGTATACATGCGCTATCACTAACATAGTGATATGAGTTGAAGAAGTAAGGAGTAATCTTATTTTACTATGTCAAATTTAGTTTATTTGATCTTCACAATATTCTAACTGTTTTTTATGATTTAAAAAATTGTTGAGTGTATCATATGTAAAATCCATACTTCTTGGAAAAACAAATGACTTGTGAAGTTATCAAACTTGTGATTAGAACCATCAAACGTTGTAAACATATGTATTAACATATGTGTCCCAAAGTCAATTTTGAACATCATTTTCATGACATTCATATCTTTGTGACCTAAATAATTTAGATTATAACAATACATTATGTAATAAAGCAATTTTGTTGGTTTGATAATAGATGACATGTCATAATTTTCCTGAAGCATTACATCATCATTGATCACTACTTGGTGTTGACATTTGATCGTTATAACAAATGAATCATGAATTTGAAAATCTAATTGGTAATCAGCAGCGGATGCTTAAATAGCATTTTTTGAAAATAAAAATCTAATAAGTTACAAAAAATCGACACAATCATGATAAAATTCATATTTTGAAATAATTTTGTTTGTGAAAAATAAAAATATGAAAAACTGAAATTAATATGATTTTAAGCTACAATCATATACAATTTTTTCACTAAGCAGAATATCATAAATTAAAAATAATAATATCTAAATCAGTTTCTACCATGTAACATTTAATAACGTTCAGTATTGGTAATATAAATTGAATTTCATTAAAATCTAATCATTTGAGAATTTTGAAGAAACATTTTGCATTCATGATTGAAGTTTGAACAAGAATGATTTAAGTTGAACCAACAAAAGTTTTTTATATTGAAATTTGAGTATAATGAAGTTTCAAAAGAAAAGTAAAATTATAAATTTTGATGAAATAAATTCAATAATCAAATTATATAATTATCTTCAATAAAGAACTTATATATTTTTAATATAAATTTTATTAATGATTAATATTTATATTTATTTTGCTTCAATATAAATCAAAATGTTTTACGATTTACAAAAAAACTTTATTTCTTGATGTATGAAAAAAATATGAATGAAGGTTAAAATTTGAACATTTATTAGCATGAGTTTGAAGTGTATTTGTAATTGCAAGAAGAAAGAAGTGTTGTCTTGAATCAAGAAGTTCTTTAAAAGTTTCAAACAAATGAAGATAAGTAATTAAGTTTTGTATCAAGTGTAATACATACATAAATTTGTTTACACTAGCTCTTCATTTAAATAAAAACGTATTTTTATGTTAATTGAACAAATATGTTTACGATGAAATAATTTTTTTGTCAAAAAGCATCAGATATTTTTAATCGCAGTTTCTTTAATATTTCTTATTTTCATTTTTATGTTAAGAAGCCTTGTGTATCATCTATTTAATGAATTGTTGAAATCATTTTGGCAACTTTTTTTATCAAAACAAATTTGCAACAATTGTAGCACTAAAAGCTGGTTGATCAATGCTGCATATATGCGAGACAAGTGTTTAAATATTTCATTATTATTTTTGTTTATTATAATTGCTCATGTCAATATGTATATATATTTATTATAAAAATTATCATATTTTGGCTTTTTTGCCTGCTGTGTGTGGATATATTTTTTTGGTATAAATTTTAATATTTATGTTGTTTCATATGATATTTTTTTAATACTACTTTCTTCTATTTCTTAGTTTTGTTTTATCTCAAATGTTGCTATGATATTTGCACTTCTTTTATTGTTGTTCAATCTTCAACTTTAACCGTGAAGATTTAAATTGAAAATTGATTAGATTAATCATCTACTTAATCTTCTTTGTTTTGGGAGTAAGTGATTACAAAAAATCTTTGCACCTAAATCTGCAAGCTTGCATGAAGCCAAGATCTTGGATTCATGCTAAAATTTTGTAAATTTCATATATCAATTTTTCATTTTGCTGGTTTGTTTGCATTTTGAAAGCTTTGTTTGTTGGTTTGTTGTTCAAACAATGTGAAGTAAATGTGTATCATTGTCCAATATCAAATGATTAATTTATATATATGAGTCGAAACGTATATCGTATTATTATCAAGATCATTAATTTGTCACTCGATGATATTGTACATATAAAATAAGTTAAATAATCAATTTTTTAAATAACTTTTTTAAAAAACATGTTCAAAATTAATTTTTTTTATCTGGAGTTATGTTCAAGTCATATGAATTATTGAAAGGAAATGATGGTAATTAAATCAGAGCATAAACTATATAAGAATGTAGAACCTTGTTAAATTTTAATATTTTAAGTAAGTACTATATGTGTTAAAACATCAAGAGCTTTGTTTTTGTGCAATAATATCAATATTAAAGTTTTCAATTATATCTAGAATAGTTCAAACCACTTAGAACTTAGAGAAATTGATTCTGTTGTTTTTTTACTTCATTTTGCATATATTTGATAAAACTTGCAATTAGTCAAAAATATAGTCTCGATTTCGTAACATTCCCGAGTTATATTGAAAAGCTAAAATCTTAGATTAAACATTATTATCGTGTGATGAGGTTTGGTTTCTATTTGCAACGAGTTATACATACATAGTCTTTCATGCACAAATGAACATTTCGCTTGACTGTTGATAGTTTTCTTCTGTTCAGTCTGCAGTTTATCATTTTGTGTGAATATTTGTCTTCTTTTATTTTTTACGTGTGGTGTACATTAATATTTTTCTTCTTTTCTTTCTCCTTTTCGTTCATACGTTTTCTTTCTTTCTTGCTTGCAACGACTGTATTAAATGATACAGTTTCATATTATTTAGTATCATTTTTTGAAAAACATGTTGCTTAACTTCTTGTTAAAATTTACCTTTTTCTTAACGGTGTTAATATCAGGTGGGTATAATATATGCTCGAGTATGTTACTCCACCGTTCTTGATTAAGAAACTTTCATCTTTTAATAGATAATCTTTCATATTCATCATTATGTCAACTCTGCGCGCCAAGATGAAGATAACCACCTATACACTCTCACTTTATCCACTTTTCTTACCTGCAAAAGTTTTTCCAGGTATAAAGACAAATAATTTATTTAGATAGTAATTTCTATCTGTGAACTAAAAACAAAAATTGTTGAAGAATGACAAACCCTGAATAGGGAGGAAAATTTAGTGTCTACGAAGTTTTCACTTTCATAGCTGTTGCGTCGGCGCAAGAGAAAGAACTCTCACGCCATTTACACAAATATAATGGAGCAAGAGTTATTTCTACACTCATCGACTCGCTCCTCGACGTCAATCATGACGAAATATATCCAACTGGCATGCGAACAAAACTGCAAGACGCTAAAACGAAAACCTACTGCTCATCGTCGCTGCTGCTGCTGCTGCTGTATTTACCAAAACTGAAAATTGAATACTCCTCACTAGATTCACTACCATCAGTAACGAGGAAATCATGGTCGAAGCAGGAATAATCCTTCTCCCTGCAAGTGTAGACGTAGGACGTTGGGATGTCTTTGACGTTGAAACCGTTGAAATTAGACCCTGCGGCCTTGGTGTACGCTCCCATGCGTGGCCACAACAGCCAGTCGCCGCATTGCAGCTCCGGCAGATAAATGTCACGCATCACAGTGTCAAGGCCGTCACAGGTCGGCCCGAAGATGGTGGACTGATAGACGTTCCTATCGCGCCATTCTTCCTCTGCATCGTCGTCTTGAGAAAGCGCGCGCACCGACAGCACGGCATGGTCGTAGAGCAGACAGTTCATGGATCCATAGATGCCGTCATTGACCCAATACTCAGCCTGTTTCGTTCCGCCCTTCTTGCGCATGCGGCAGCCGAATACGTACGTCGCCAAGGTGAAAGCATCCTCCGCGAAGAACCTGCCAGGTTCCGCAATCACAGTCACCCCCATGCTGACGGGAAAGCACTTGTCCAGAGCTTTGTTGATGGTTGACGCTGCGGTGGCGAAGTTCACGCCGGCGGATGCATTCGAGACGAACCCACCTCCGATGTCCAAAATCTTCATATCGTTCAGCCCCATTGCTTCCGCGACGCCAAACACATATTTGGCACACTCGATTCCGTACGCGAAGGCACTTGCGTCTGACGCACCGCTGCCCACGTGAAACGCAACACCCACAACTTTCAGGCTTAGTTGCTTCGCGACGGTGAGGAGCTGCTCGCATTCTTCAAGTTCAGCTCCGTACTTGGTACCGAGCTGACACCGCGCCGTTGGATCGTCGGCTCTGATACGCAGAACAACTTCGGCGTGGGGAAGAAACTTCTTCAGCTTGTAAAGCTCTGATTCTGAGTCAAATGTTGTACGGAGTACACCATGCTTTCCTGCCTCCGTAATGTGGGTAGGAAGCTTACAGGGGTTGGCAAATATTATGTTTTCGGGAACTGCTCCAATATCGGTGACAGCCTTCAGCTCCGATTTGCTCGCCACGTCAAAGCCAGCTCCCAGTTTGTGAAGGAGTGCAAGCAAAGCCGCGTCGGGATTACACTTCACCGCATAAAAGGGTTTGACACGAGGCAGAGCGGTTACCCATAATTTCCATTGCCTCAAAACCGATCCCAAGTCCATCACATAGAAAGCACTCTCCAGCTCACTGTCATTCACCTTCTTCCTGATGAAAGAGTCAGTGTCCTTGAGAGTCGATCCGATGACAGCCGCGTCGAATTGTGTGAACACTTCAGCCATCTCTCCTCCCACGACACCGTTCAGATTCCACAGAGAATTCTTACCGCATGATGATGAATACTTTGGATCTTTCTTAGACACCAAAGACTTCCCGGGCACGTACTCATCCTCGCAAAGTACCTGCTCCGGAAGCTGAAATAGTGGAAGAGCATGCACAGCAGCCACAGCCCCGAAACGAGAGTCCTTAAAAGTATGAAACACTGCGACACTGCCACAAGGCAGCTCCTGTCGACTAGTACCATCACAGACGTAACCAGACGGACAAATGGATTTTTCCCAGGACCCTGGGCAAGATCCACCCCCCGCGCTGCCAGTAGCGTAAAGGCACATCGAGAAGCACGCAGGCCTGAAAATGGAGGTGACATTCTCCACCAAGCGTACCAGGTCCACTTCCCGAGGGCCATATCCCATAGTCTCAAAACTGGCGAAACTGAATCCATCTTCTGGAGTGACATGAATAGTTGAGTGTGCTGCGCCTTCGATAGAATTCATAGAATAACCGCAAGGCTCAAATGAAAAATCACAAATTTTGGAGTTAGGAAGAAGCTCGTTGATCCCCGCCGCCTCCGTCATGTCCGCACCCGACTTCTTACCATCTACATTGAAGAACTGCGAGGCCTTCTCCTTGTCTAGCTTGGTCATACACATCTCCAAAGTGTACGTGCGCTCATCACTGGAGTCGTTCTCGTCCGACGCAGAGTAGATATGCCAGTTCGGAAACTTTGCCATATTACCCATCACGTAAGCTTTGCCTCCCGATCCCAAATCACCGAAGTACTGCTCCAAATACCCAACCTCCTCGCTGAAGCTCCCATGGGGATATGGCTGAGCGGCGGGAAACATAAATGTCCCTCGAGTGTACTTGCAGCGACGAAGTTTCAAGGAAAGTCCAGCGGCAAATTCCAGCAAAGGCGGTATGGCTTTCAGTATTTGAGTGGTACCACAGGTTTTCAGGACAATCTTCAACGGGTAGACAAAGAGGCTCGATTCTGACAGCACGTAAGAGTCAAATTCTTCGTTGCAGAGTTGGGCCACAATTGTACACTTTGCAGCGTCCAACATAACATCCAATTCTGCACGGGCGAGAGCTCTCAAACCCCTACCCGCGGGATCACTAAATAGTGGGGCAGGGTGGAACTCTACTTCCAATCTTTTCTCAAACCCCTCAAATCCAGGGCATGATTTGACCTCCATTACGTTTCCAGACTCAGGAGCAACACAAACTCCCATGTTGACCTAGTAGTAAGAGAAGTTACAGTGTTTCAAGCAGGTGGAACGAGAAGATGGGATGGGAGAAACGAGCGGGGAAAAATAAAAAGATAAAAAGCCGATCTGCAAGGGAGCTGCGAGCAGCAGACCAGCCCACTCCACACGGGCAGCAGCACCACTCCTATTCACACTCCTGGAGCCTATATCAGGATGGCTTCCTCACGCACTGCATGAACAAACAACGAGTGAGATTTTGCAGTACGATGATCATGAAGGTTCTACCAAAACTACACACTGCAGAATCTGCTAAATTCCAGTTTCGATTCGTTTTTTTAAATGCCCCTTTCGTAGGTCTGCAGAGGCATGAGACCTCTAGTTCCAGACTGTTTGCGGATAAGCGCATGGAATGATCGGATTACTTGCAATCTTTCCAAATGGATAACACACTTACGTTTGAGTATGCAGCAGTTCTGAACTTCTCGACACCACCGTGAGGGCGCACGTCTTCCACAACGTATCCAAGGGGGCTCTCGTACTGCCAAGAACTAGTACTGGAATTCTTTTCGTCACCTCCTTTGGCTTCCATTATAACATTAAGGCCTTCTGCAAAAGTATAAACAGTTTATAAGAACACCAAAACGTGTGGTATTTCAAGATCCCCAACCTTGCAAGCGATAAGGACCCCTCGATTCACGTGTGACATATACACAGATACATAGACACGAAGTGTAAGATCTAAGAATAGTGACATTGAAAAGGTGGACTGAAAATCTTACGAGATTCTCGAGACTAGCTACGGGACTCATGAATCCTCACAAACTTTACAAACAGCTATGACTTCTCGGTAAAGAGTGAAATGACGGAGAAATCGCGGGGTGCTGACGATTCTTGTTCGCCGCCTTCGCACGCCATAAGCAGAAAGTTCGACCTAATCAGTAAAATTTTTGACGATAGACCTAGCAACCGACACCCAGAAAGTGCAGAAGCAGAGTGTTCAAACTGCAGATACTAATGTCAGATCCATTCACTTTCGGGCATATTCAGCCGAGTGCAGAAGACGCGAATAAATTTGCAATGCACACGACGTCGAGAGAGATAAGTAAGTGGAAGGCAGCAGGGATTTTGACAGCAGGAGACGAATGACATGATACGAGAGGGACGACCGACAGTTCCTAAATCACGCGGTTCGGGGACAACCCAAAATATTCTCGAACAGGCCTCAACAAGGAGCGCAAGAAGAAACAGAAGAATGGGAGGTAACGGCGCTTACAAAATCTTTTCCCGTCGTGGTCGTCGTGGTGACCACCTTTTCGAACCAGGCAATCGCTCAAAGATCAAGACCGTTCCAACACGGGGCAGTCACGGCGGAAGGACGTTCGGAACACCCTCCGGAACCCAGCAAGCAAGACGACGGCCGATGACACAACACACGATCCCTCTCCCTCTGCTGTTTCTGTGCGAGAGAAGATGAGAAACAAGGTTCGATCCACCAATCACAGCGGACGCACGATAGACGACTGAACGAAGGAATGAACGGGAGCGCTCTCGAAGGCAGACAGACAACTCGCTTGGAAAAGGAGGAATGCCCGGCTGCGTTTTGAGGATGGGGCTGCGCAGGCGCTCTTGTAGTAGCTGCGAAGGCAAAGGCAGTTGATGACGGGACCGGACTCGGGACCGGGTGCTGGGCTCATCTTCCAGGAAGGGCAGGTCGCGGGTGGGTCAATCAAGACCTACGTACGATTCCCTGTGCGCATACGCTCCCCATGGACGCTTAACTGTTCGAACGAGCCACGAACAGAACAGTGTCGACCGGGTCTACCCTAAACACCCCGTCGCGCCCTTTTGCCCTCCTCCCGTTTGCAGCCCAGCACATTGCTTCGCATCAAGCCGTGCGTCTTTCCGAGGTTACCGGAGAACAGAGGTCAACATTGGCAATGGCACCCATCTCCATGTCATAACGATGAGTGAACCTAATCCTATTGGCTTAGATCGGACAGATGTTTAAAACCAGTCGTTTCGAGCATGCCCATCGCACTCCAGCTGTGAGCTACGTGTCAGATACATCTCGCGCCGGCCGGTTTCTATCCGGGGACCGGATTCGGTACGCTTCGGTCCCGGAGATATTTTTAGCGGGACACATGGACGGACTGCGCAAACCGTGACTCGTCTGCCCGGTCCAGGCCCTTCCCGATGTGACCTTTGGGTTCGGTGCGCATTTCGTTCTTTTTGATGGCAACCGTCCCGCTGCCTCGCTGATCGGTCAAGACTGTGGCCGACACCAGGTCGCTTTCAGGAACTCGAGTTCTCTACTAAAGCACGGAAGCTTGGACTCAAAGCCGAGACCCCCCCAGGTTGTGGATTTATGCTCATGCATGCTACACGAGGAAGTTGCATTTGACTTCTCAGAGTCTCCAGTAGATGTGTCCAAGGGTGCTCGCCGTGGTCTTTCGTCCCCAGAGGACATCATGAAAAGACAGGGATTTCGTACGCGAGAGGTCTCTCGAGCCCTCGAGCTTATTATGAACTCCTGCTTTTCCCTTTCGTTGTGACCTGCTTTTGTTGGGGTGTAGCGTAATTTCAACCTTGGAGGTAAATATGAATGCCTTGTAAATGAAGGGAGTTGAAAACTCGTAGAAGGAAAGTGAATGCTGATCGTGCAGTGGCAAGCCTCATCGATAGAACCACCCAAAAAAGCCCTGAAGTTGTGCTTATAACGAAAATCTTGTAGACTTGACGCATGGCTCCAATCACAAGACTCATCTGAAATTCGACAAGAGCCCTTCCAAGTGTTGCATCGTCCACAATTATCTCCGTCACTCGTCTTTTGACATTTGGGGATGTCGACCGATATTCGAAGAGGACTTCCACCATCTTTTAGATAAAATTGTGTTAACAAGCGCATGTGTAAATTTGCTTTCCCTCAACTGGTTACCTTTCCTCTCCAAAATGGTGTTTGCGGATTACAAAAGCCACGGTTGTAAGACGGTTGAGCTTCCCATCTAATACAAATTCCTACACCTTGAAATCCTTCAGAGTCTATGGATCTTTCTTATTAAGAAAATCCGTAAAAGAGAGCTTTCTAGAATAGTACCGTAACCAGATTATAGCATGATAAAAAAGTATGCATAGTTCAAAATAATAAGAAATCCAATATTTTCGACTTATATAAGAGAAAATGTGTTTGCGTCATAAACATGCATATATTATTATACATTATATTGGTGTAAATTTCTCCCAAAAGAATCAAAGAAGCAATGTGAGAGGGGATATTGATCTCTTCACCCGACACACAAAAGACTACGGGAGATACATAGATGTCTATTTAGATAAGGAATAAAACTTAATCAAAGCTGAAAACATTCGCGACTGCCCCGCAAGCATTCAAAAATTCATGTATGCAACCTTTAGATGATGTCTTTCATTCATCCTTGAAACATGATTACAAAATTAACAAGTAACTTGTTAAAACTATGACAATTATAATAGTTATGTGCATTACATGGAAATTAAACTCCATCGATGCATTTTTTAAAACTTCTACAGTAGCACATGCCATCTTTCTGTAATGACCTTAACCAGATTTAAAACAATTTTATTAATCAGGCACAAACAACATATTTCCAAATATAATAAGTGTCTTCCAAAAAATATTATACCATACTTCTTCAAATGAAGTACTATAAAATAAAATAAATTATTAAAAAGATTATTGAGTCCAAGATAGCGAGTCTTTTATGGAATCGTTCAAGGAGCAAAACGCCTCAAGGAAGATAAAAAAAAATTAAATAATTTGCATTTTTTTAAAGAGATGAAATTCTTTCTTAAAAAAATACCAATGTCAAATACATCACTATTTGATACACACATATGTTTTAGTGAACTATTTACAACACGTTTAAATTAACTATGGTTGATCGAGATAAGCCAAATTGTATTAGCATGCAAAAACAATGCTGTTAAGTGATCTGAAATAAAATTAGACTCATCCAATTGTGAAAAAAAATTGTATGAAAAAAATTATAAAACTTGTAAACTTTAAAAACTAAATATTGGAATCATCAAGAAACTACTATTTTACATCACAAGGCTTTCATTGTTAACAGATCTATGCATGTAAGAGTATTTGGTAATGTAGGCTTATATATGTAAGTGACCATGATGTGATTCTCAAGAGTTAAAATTTCACTAATGATTTGCAAAACTTTAATCAATCATCAAGTTTAGTTATAAAAAGAGAAGTAGGTGAAACCGTTCCCACGAAAAGTAATATATCATATGATGCACCTTAGTATGCACGACTTGACCAACCACATTAAAACAATTCTGCCATAAAGATTCATATAGATAGCAGGTCACAAAATCCCAACAACTATGTTTGAGCTAAAAGTTTAGACGAAAGAATCCATTGATGGAAAATAGAGACAAGCCAAGCTACTATCAAGTAGCATGGTGTACTGAACCCAAGTCATGACTCTCACATCATGTGATTTGCAAAGATCTTTGAATTTGAAACGCTATTTAACTTGTCTTCAACGTCCATCTTCATCCCAATGATAAGCAAGTCGAAAAGAGCTTTGATACCAGAAAGGACTAACACACAAACTCAAAACTCCAGCCTCTTAATTGGTGACGAGTAAGTTGCTCATGACAAGATCCGTGAACTTAAAAGAACAATGCCTATATATGAATGAATAGGGGCCACTATATTCTTTCGGAAAATTCATTTGTAATAATGCATGCGAACATTGTATTATTTATTAGTTTTTTCATTTGATTTGACGACTTACATTTATTTTTATTTTTTGCATGGATCGATGTTAACTTTGTCTGGTTTACTAAATTGTTCGCGATTTAGATAGGTTTTGCTTCTTTCCCTGAAGAATGGGCCCGCATATTCGCTACCAGTTATTCAATTTTCCCCTAATGGATTTATGAAAGCAGAAGAGAATACCTGCCAGAGGACCAACAAGTAGACGAAAAAGTGGAAGCAGTATCGATAAGAACAAACATCAATGCTACTTTAGATGGTTAGCTAGCAGCTACGGAATTTTGTCCCGAGTTTGATCCATAGAGGATGGACTATGAGCGGTATAAAGTTGTATGATCGAATGGATAGAGAAAGGATTATCGATGAACGAGAGTTGTGATGCGGTGGATATTTCAGCTCAATCTATTTTCCGAAATGTTCAGGACAAATCTAAGCAGCCGAGTTGGAAACACTCTGTGCGTGTTCTCAGAAGGCGAAGGAGGCCCTGCTTGACTCGATAACTTTGGCACCATGCTGTGTTTCTTGTCCGCAGTGTACCGAAGACATCAGAGAGACATGTAACGGACTCTGTGCTCGAAGAGTTACTGCTGCTAAGCCAGGAGCACCGAGTAAAGGTTTGAGTTGAGTTGAGTGAGGCATTGAATTGAGTTGGTCCCCTGGTCGCCACATGCTTTGCGTAACCCGGCACACTTCGGGTTACAAGGGATGTGACTGGCTAAGAGCAATAGCAATGCTTCGACGTAAACCCTGACACATTGCAACTTCACTCATCCAAAGCATTGTTGTATTGTTCGACAACTGTATACCAAGGTGTAGAGGAGACATTGCTTGTGACGCTAACTTACGAGTGCTCATTGGGCCGTTCTGCTAGATCAGAATCTCTACTCGATACCGCTACTTTTTGTAAGAACTTAAAAGGATGTCATCTCAACGATGTTTCATAGAAAATTTTGAGTTCGCCAAAGTTGCCCATTAGGGTTTGAACGGTAGCTCTTTTGGTTTCACCTTCTCCTTTCTTCGTGTGCACTTGCGTAATCCATCCCTTTCAAAAAGTGTAAACAAGTTCAAATAATGACAAAATTGCTATATCTCAACTTATGACTTTTTGTACGCTTATTTTGGCTTCGTTGGCTAGTGAGGAGTAAAGAAAATATCTGTTTGATGCTTCGACATCAGACTTACATAATCTTACTTCTTAAGTACTAATTACTTCAATTGTGTGACATAGTTTGGAAGTGAAACTTCATAAAATGAGTATCAAATTCTAGAGTGCTAGAAGTATATAAACCATCCATCTCGCTACACATCCTTGGGCTATGTTATAAGATCAAAACAATCAATGCCCCGAGTCAATCTCTCACATTGACATACTAACTTTGACGTTTCAAATTTTGTATTCAATAGCTCCATAGGACTCAAAGTTAGAATTAAACAAGAGTAGCACTTGGTTGTTAGGCCTCCATTGTACATCTATAAAAAAACAAAAAACAAAATAGAATGTATGATGATGCCTTCTGAAGTAAAAATAACTCCGCCATTAGGACCTGATACTTTAGAACCTATTGTAAATAATCCTTGACCTTTATTGATTGAAGCTTCTCCAAATAAGTTACATATCTTCTTGTGACATAATACACAACTCACAATTAATACTATCATGAGTTGCTATACTTTGTAGTCTGAATAAGTAATAACTTATATGAACACACTACAAATGCTACATCTAAACTAGTGTGGGAAGACTTTAGATGATATGCAATAGTATATGTTTTTTTTCGAAACAAGTACCGGCTGATGTTAATTTCCCAATTGACTATATTAAAATGATGAT